CACTTACTTAAGGACTATAATGACACAAATGAGATGAAAAAGCAGGAAATACAAGCGAGCCCATGGATCAGTCACTGCTGCATAACCATAAGCAATAAGTGCTCACAAGTTAAGGAAATGTACTAAAAAATATCTAAAAAATTCTTTTCAACATAACAGGAACATTATAAGTGCAGTTTCTTGTTAAATCAATACTAGCTAAAACTTAACTGACAGCCTGTGTTCAATATTCTTACATTTGGTCACAGTGCTGGTATGCCAAGATGTTCCCAAGTGTGGATGGATGGTTGTCACCATAACTAATTGTAGCCACCACATGAAAGTGAAAAATGGAACGATGATGATAATGATGAATTACAAATAATAAGCCACAACAACAGTGATTAATTATAAGTAAAATATACTAAATAACAAATATGGGCATCAAAAAGAATTTTTTGACACATTACAACTAACATGCATTCCTTTAACTTATGACCTTTCATTTAACCCTTTGACTGTCACAACCCCCAATCCTGAGGTGTCTCCTGGTGTCGCAAAATTTAAAAAAAAAAAAAATTATTTTTTCTTATGAAATGATAGAGAATCTTTTCCCGATTGTAATGACACCAAAAAAACGAAATTTGATGGAAAAACTGACGGAATTATGCTCTCGCGAAGTTAGCGACCTCGGCGCTGTTTACAAATTGGCGATTTCGCCCACTTTGAGCCCTATTTTCGGCTAATTCCCTTGTTCCAGTCGCCCAAACTCATAGCTATTTCTTTAGAACTCCATTTTTTCTATCGATTGAGTACAAGAAACTGCCCATTTACCGATTTCAACTACCTAATAATGTGGTCAGAAATTTGCAATTTGGCCAATTTCACGAAAACTGAAAAATATGACAATTTCAAAATAAGGTCCAGAATGAACAATGCAGACATTCCTGGCTCTAAAATAACATTTTCTTTGTTCATCAGTCACGTCTCCAGGCCCCTCTGATATTACTCTTGCTTTCTATTTTGAATTTTTATTCAAACAAAAAATAGAAGACTTACTATTATGCAGACTACTGCAATACTGTAATAATTGTATAAATAACATCAACCCATTCATGACTGCATATTAGAATGGCTAGTTGGACATTTATTGGACAATGGCATCATTTGTTTACTTTTGAACATTGACAAAAATCAAACATTTCCCCTATTTTGAGCTCCATTTCTAGGTTCTTTTTATAGTAAAATCAATCAAAATCACATCTATTTCTATAATATGTTTTCCATTCTATCAATGAGACCAAGAAAACGAGAATACAACAATAAATACTATACGAAAATAGACCACAAAGTCGGCATTTTAATTAAAAAAAAACGGTCGGAGTTTTTTTTTCTCATTATGCACTGCGTGCTTCAGGATTTTTTTTTATATGGTGCACACTGACCACACAGACCCATACTCTCACATGTGGGCCTACCAGCTTTCTCCTGCTTGATTTGAAGTCGCTAGAATTTATGAGTATATATACGTCAAACACGGTACCTCGTAAGACGTATATATACGGCCGCGACAGTCAAAGGGTTAAATAACTAATAATTAATATTATTAACCATCATCATCATCAATATCCTGAATATTAGCATCCAAACATATTACAGAAAGCTGCTAACTTTAAACTTGGATTAGAAAATTATGAAGATCATAGTTTCTAAAAATAATTCTAAAGTATAAAAGGATATCATGCCATTGATTGACAACAGTAAGTTCAAACATAACAATGAATGCATGGATAACATCATTGAAGTTATTGTTGCAATAGTGGTCATGCCAGAAGTCTGAAAGTTCTAGTTTGCTATTGCTGCAAAACAGGTCTGATTCTCCTTCTACATCATAGCCTGTGAACTTCACCAGTCCCTGGAATGATTCCATTCCCACAATTGCAAACATGTAGTAGAAAACCTGCAAGAGGAAAACAAACAAATATTGATGCTATACTTGATAGTTATGTGTATATATAAAATCACAGGTGACATTCAGAAACTCATTAATTTATTTATCATTTCATAAGTGTGTCAAGTAAGTACAGAAACCAAAGGCATAACTAACCATTATGACACCTCCATATGTTATGAGGGATGGGATAACCTTAGTGATGGTAAGAACAATGACCTTGAAGCGCCCAATACTTCCGATAATCTTGACCAATCGTAGCACCCTAAGTACCAACAGCACATCAAGGGAAAGACGACTCTCCTGTTCTGATATTAGTTACCTTATCAATAAATACACTCATAACATTATTTTGAAAAGTAGATTCAACACAAATGATGTGCCTGACTCTAAGATACTAAAAATTACATGAATATTACACACGCAGAACTAAAAAGCTATGTCCCAGCTTTCTCTTATTTGAGCTATGAGGTTACACTACATAACACCTGGACACTACTTTCTTTCTTTCTACACGTAAGATAATTTGCACCAGACATATTTGACACCATATTTTGCTTCTTAACTGGGCAAAGAAACAACACAAAGTTGAGGTGGAAATGTAATGTAGAAATGAGACTAAGGGCACTTATTTTTCATAATGGAAACAAAAAAATTATATTTGCATAAACATATTCAGGAAGGTGCAGTATTGTCTGCATTGAATTCTTAATGATCTTCAGTCTTAGTTCAGAGAAACACTGAACCTGTAGGGGTCATGGAACACCTAGGAAATTGGAGGTAATCAAGTTTGATCCAAGGAAGAATTGTCAATTTTAGATGCTCCCTCTCACTGAGATACTAAGCATGGCTAATGTAGCTTAGACCTATAAGCAGCACTGACTTAAGTCCAATATTAAATATTCTGAACACATACAACACAGAGTAATTTTTTTTAACTTTAAGCATGTCCATGCAGCTCTAGCAGAGAACAGGCATGGTCCTGCCCCTCTCCCCTCCTAGACACAAGTTCAGCAATCTGGTTTCCCTGAATTCCTTCATAAATGTTACCTTACTCACACTCTAACAGTACCTCAAACATTAAAAATCACTTTTCTCTATTCACTTCAATCTAACATACTCACACAAGCCTGCTGGATACTCAGGCCCTCAATGCTCAAAACCTCCTTTATGAATCCTCACTTTCAAACTGTTCCTGAGACAAGTACTACCCCTCCTTCCTTCCATCCCAGATTTATACACTCTCTTCATCCTCTGTAAATGTCCAAATCACCACAGCATTCTGAGTCATACCTTCGGTGATTCCACAGTGTCTTGAATTTCTATGCTCTGAATTATCTGCAAAATTCTCACGACATCTCCACTGCCTATAGGCTCCTCACCACAGTATTCAAAGGCTATGCCTCATATCCATATAAAAGTGTCAGTACCACTATACCTTGAAACATTTCCCTTTTTTGCTTCCATAGATAAAACTTATTTTTACAGATATATACCTCAATATATCATTTACCTTTTTTATTCTCTCATCTATTCTTCTGGTTCACCTCATTTTTCATAAACCCATCTGCCGAAGTGTCCGCTCCCAAATAAAATACATTCACTGTTCTCCCTTCATCCCACATGATATCCAATCTTTTATTGCCTAGATTTTTTTTACTCATCACCACCTTTTACGTTTTTTTTTTCAACAAGTCGGTCGTCTCCCACCTAGGCAGGGTGACCCAAAAAAGAAAGAAAATCCCCAAAAAGAAAATACTTTCATCATCATTCAACACTTTCACCACACTCACACATTATCACTGTTTTTGCAGAGGTGCTCAGAATACAACAGTTTAGAAGTTATTTATATTTTTTTATTATCACACCGGCCGATTCCCACCAAGGCAGGGTGGCCCGAAAAAGAAAAACTTTCACCATCATTCACTCCATCACTGTCTTGCCAGAAGGGTGCTTTACACTACAGTTTTTAAACTGCAACATTAACACCCCTCCTTCAGAGTGCAGGCACTGTACTTCCCATCTCCAGGACTCAAGTCCGGCCTGCCGGTTTCCCTGAATCCCTTCATAAATGTTACTTTGCTCACACTCCAACAGCACGTCAAGTATTAAAAACCATTTGTCTCCATTCACTCCTATCAAACACGCTCACGCATGCCTGCTGGAAGTCCAAGCCCCTCGCACACAAAACCTCCTTTACCCCCTCCCTCCAACCCTTCCTAGGCCGACCCCTACCCCGCCTTCCTTCCACTACAGACTGATACACTCTTGAAGTCATTCTGTTTCGCTCCATTCTCTCTACATGTCCGAACCACCTCAACAACCCTTCCTCAGCCCTCTGGACAACAGTTTTGGTAATCCCGCACCTCCTCCTAACTTCCAAACTACGAATTCTCTGCATTATATTCACACCACACATTGCCCTCAGACATGACATCTCCACTGCCTCCAGCCTTCTCCTCGCTGCAACATTCATCACCCACGCTTCACACCCATATAAGAGCGTTGGTAAAACTATACTCTCATACATTCCCCTCTTTGCCTCCAAGGACAAAGTTCTTTGTTTCCACAGACTCCTAAGTGCACCACTCACTCTTTTTCCCTCATCAATTCTATGATTCACCTCATCTTTCATAGACCCATCCGCTGACACGTCCACTCCCAAATATCTGAATACGTTCACCTCCTCCATACTCTCTCCCTCCAATCTGATATTCAATCTTTCATCACCTAATCTTTTTGTTATCCTCATAACCTTACTCTTTCCTGTATTCACCTTTAATTTTCTTCTTTTGCACACCCTACCAAATTCATCCACCAATCTCTGCAACTTCTCTTCAGAATCTCCCAAGAGCACAGTGTCATCAGCAAAGAGCAGCTGTGACAACTCCCACTTTGTGTGTGATTCTTTATCTTTTAACTCCACGCCTCTTGCCAAAAACCCTCGCATTTACTTCTCTTACAACCCCATCTATAAATATATTAAACAACCACGGTGACATCACACATCCTTGTCTAAGGCCTACTTTTACTGGGAAAAAATTTCCCTCTTTCCTACATACTCTAACTTGAGCCTCACTATCCTCGTAAAAACTCTTCACTGCTTTCAGTAACCTACCTCCTACACCATACACTTGCAACATCTGCCACATTGCCCCCCTATCCACCCTGTCATACGCCTTTTCCAAATCCATAAATGCCACAAAGACCTCTTTAGCCTTATCTAAATACTGTTCACTTATATGTTTCACTGTAAACACTGGTCCACACACCCCCTACCTTTCCTAAAGCCTCCTTGTTCATCTGCTATCCTATTCTCCGTCTTACTCTTAATTCTTTCAATTATAACTCTACCATACACTTTACCAGGTACACTCAACAGACTTATCCCCCTATAATTTTTGCACTCTCTTTTATCCCCTTTGCCTTTATACAAAGGAACTATGCATGCTCTCTGCCAATCCCTAGGTACCTTACCCTCTTCCATACATTATTAAATAATTGCACCAACCACTCCAAAACTATATCCCCACCTGCTTTTAACATTTCTATCTTTATCCCATCAATCCCGGCTGCCTTACCCCCTTTCATTTTACCTACTGCCTCACGAACTTCCCCACACTCACAACTGGCTCTTCCTCACTCCTACAAGATGTTATTCCTCCTTGCCCTATACACGAATCACAGCTTCCCTATCTTCATCAACATTTAACAATTCCTCAAAATATTCCTTCCATCTTCCCAATACCTCTAACTCTCCATTTAATAACTCTCCTCTCCTATTTTTTAACTGACAAATCCATTTGTTCTCTAGGCTTTCTTAACTTGTTAATCTCACTCCAAAACTTTTTCTTATTTTCAACAAAATTTGTTGATAACATCTCACCCACTCTCTCATTTGCTCTCTTTTTACATTGCTTCACCACTCTCTTAACTTCTCTCTTTTTCTCCATATACTCTTCCCTCCTTGCATCACTTCTACTTTGTAAAAACTTCTCATATGCTAACTTTTTCTCCCTTACTACTCTCTTTACATCATCATTCCACCAATCGCTCCTCTTCCCTCCTGCACCCACTTTCCTGTAACCACAAACTTCTGCTGAACACTCTAACACTACATTTTTAAACCTACCCCATACCTCTTCGACCCCATTGCCTATGCTCTCATTAGCCCATCTATCCTCCAATAGCTGTTTATATCTTACCCTAACTGCCTCCTCTTTTAGTTTATAAACCTTCACCTCTCTCTTCCCTGATGCTTCTATTCTTCTTGTATCCATCTACCTTTTACTCTCAGTATAGCTACAACTAGAAAGTGATCTGATATATCTGTGGCCCCTCTATAAACATGTACATCCTGAAGTCTACTCAACAGTCTTTTATCTACCAATACATAATCCAACAAACTACTGTCATTTCGCCCTACATCATATCGTGTATACTTATTTATCCTCTTTTTCTTAAAATATGTATTACCTATAACTAAACCCCTTTCTATACAAAGTTCAATCAAAGGGCTCCCATTATCATTTACACCTGGCACCCCAAACTTACCTACCACACCCTCTCTAAAAGTTTCTCCTACTTTAGCATTCAAGTCCCCTACCACAATTACTCTCTCACTTGGTTCAAAGGCTCCTATACATTCACTTAACATATCCCTCCAAACCGTCAATATCCCAAACCCCTCCTTTAAAGTGCAGGCATTGTACTTCCCATTTCCAGGACTCAAGTCCGACTATATGAAAATAACCGGTTTCCCTGAATCCCTTCACTAAATATTACCCTGCTCACACTCCAACAGATCGTCAGGTCCCAAGTACCATTCGTCTCCATTCACTCCTATCTAACACGCTCACGCACGCTTCCTGGAAGTCCAAGCCCCTCGCCCACAAAACCTCCTTTACTCCCTCTCTCCAACTCTTTCGAGGACGACCCCTACCCCGCCTTCCTTCCCCTACAGATTTATATGCTTTCCATATCATTCTACTTTGATCCATTCTCTCTAAATGACCAAACCACCTCAACAACCCCTCTTCTGCCCTCTGACTAATACTTTTATTAACTCCACACCTTTTCCTAATTTCCACACTCCGAATTTTCTGCATAATATTTACACTACACAATGCCCTTAGACAGGACATCTCCACTGCCTCCAACCATCTCCTTGCTGCTGCATTTACCACTCAAGCTTCACACCCATATAAGAGTGTTGGTACTACTATACTTTTATACATTCCCTTCTTTGCCTCCATAGATAATGTTTTTTGACTCCACATATACCTCAACGCACCACTCACCTTTTTTCCCTCATCAATTCTATGATTAACCTCATCCTTCATAAATCCATCCGCCGACACGTCAACTCCCAAGTACAGTGGACCCCCGCATAACGATTACCTCCGAATGCGACCAATTATGTAAGTGTATTTATGTAAGTGCGTTTGTACGTGTATGTTTGGGGGTCTGAAATGGACTAATCTACTTCACAATATTCCTTATGGGAATAAGTTCGGTCAGTACTGGCACCTGAACATACTTCTGGAGTGAAAAAATATCGTTAACCGGGGGTCCACTGTATCTGAAAACATTCACTTCTTCCATACTCCTCCTCCCCAAATTGATATCCAATTTTTCTTTATCTAAATCATTTGATACCCTCATCACCTTACTCTTTTCTATGTTCACTTTCAACTTTCTACCTTTACACACATTCCCAAACTCATCCACTAACCTTTGCAATTTTTCTTTAGAATCTCCCATAAGCACAGTATCATCAGCAAAAAGTAAGTGTGTCAATTCCCATTTTGAATTTGATTCCCCATAATTTAATCCCACCCTTCTCCCGAACACCCTAGCACTTACTTCTTTTACAACCTCATCTATAAATATATTAAACAACCATGGTGACATTACACATCCCTGACTAAGACCTACTTTTACCGGAAGTAGTCTCCCTCTCTTCTACACACCTAACCTGAGCCTCACTATCCTCATAAAAACTCTTTACAGCATTTAGTAACTTACCACCTATTCCCTATACTTGTAACATCTGCCCCATTGCTCCTCTATCACTCTATCATATGCCTTTTCTAAATCCATAAATGCAATAAAAACTTCCCTACCTTTATCTAAATACTGTTCACATATATGCTTCAATGTAAACACTTGATCTACACATCCCCTACCCACTCTGAAACCTCCTTGCTCATCCGCAATCCTACATTCTGTCTTACCTCTAATTCTTTCAATTATAACCCTACCGTACACTTTTCCTGGTATACTCAGTAAACTTATTCCTCTATAATTTTTACAATCTCTTTTGTCCCCTTTCCCTTTATATAAAGGGACTATACATGCTCTCCGCCAATCGCTAGGTACCTTCCCCTCTTTCATACATTTATTAAACAAAAGTACCAACCACTCCAACACTATATCCCCCCCTGCTTTTAACATTTCTGTCATGATCCCATCAGTTCCAGCTGCTTTACCCCCTTTCATTCTACGTAATGCCTCACGTACCTCCCCCACATTTACATTCTGCTCTTCTTCACTCCTAAAAGATGGTATACCTCCCTGACCAGTGCATGAAATTACTGCCTCCCTTTCTTCCTTAACATTTAAAAGTTCCTCAAAATATTCTCGCCATCTACCTAATACCTTCATCTCCCCATCTACTAACTCCCCTACTCTGTTTTTAACTGACAAATCCATACTTTCCCTAGGCTTTCTTAACTTATTTAACTCACTCCAAAATTTTTTCTTATTTTCATTAAAATTTTTTGACAGTGCCTCTCCCACTCTATCATCTGCTCTCCTTTTGCACTCTCTCACCACTCTCTTCACCTTTCTTTTACTCTCCATATACTCAGTCTTCTTATAACACTTCTGCTTTGTAAAAACCTCTCATAAGCTACCTTTTTCTCTTTTGTCACACCCTTTACTTCATCATTCCACCAATCACTCCTCTTTCCTCCTGCCCCCACCCTCCTATAACCACAAATTTCTGCCCCACATTCTAATACTGCATTTTAAAACTATTCCAGCCCTCTTCAACCCCCCCATACTCATCTTTGCACTAGCCCACCTTTCTGCCAATAGTCGCTTATATCTCACCCGAACTTCCTCCTCCCTTAGTTTATACACTTTCACCTCCCTCTTACTCGTTGTTGCCACCTTCCTCTTTTCCCATCTACCTCTTACTCTAACTGTAGCTACAACTAAATAATGATCCGATATATCAGTTGCCCCTCTATAACATGTATATCCTGGAGCCTACCCATCAACCTTTTATCCACCAATACATAATCTAACAAACTACTTTCATTACGTGCTACATCATACCTTGTATATTTATTTATCCTCTTTTTCATAAAATATGTATTACTTATTACCAAATCTCTTTCTAACATAGCTCAATTAAAGGCTCCCCATTTACATTTACCCCTGGCACCCCAAATTTACCTACTACTCCCTCTATAACATTTTTACCCACTTTAGCATTGAAATCCCCAACCACCATTACTCTCACACTTGATTCAAAACTCCCCACACATTCACTCAACATTCCAAAATCTCTCTCTTCTCCTACACTTCTCTCTTCTCCAGGTGCATACACGCTTACTAAAACCCCACTTTTCACATCCAATCTTTATTTTACTCCACATAATCCTTGAATTAATACATTTATAGTCCCTCTTTTCCTTCCATAGCTTATCCTTCAACATTATTGCTACTCCTTCTTTAGCTCTAACTCTATTTGAAACCCTGACCTAATCCATTTATTCCTCTCCATTGAAACTCTCCCCCCCCCTTCAGCTTTGTTTCACTTAAAGCCAGGACATCCAGCTTCTTCTCATTCATAACATCCACAATCATCTCTTTCTTATCATTTGCACAACATCCACGCACATTCAGACTTCCCACTTTGACAATTTTCTTCTTATTCTTTTTAGTAATCTTTACAGGAAAAGGGGTTACTAGCCCATTGTTCCCGGCATTTTAGTTGACTTTTACAACACGCATGGCTTACAGAGGAAAGATTCTTATTCCATTTCCCCATGGATATAAAAGGAAAAGTAATAAGACCAAGAACTATTAAGATAAAATCAAAGAAAACTCAGATGAGTGTGTGTGTAAATAAACGTGTACATGTATGTGTAGTGTGACCTAAGTGTAAGTAGAAGTAGCAAGACATACCTGTAATCTTGCATATTTATGAGACAGACAAAAGACACCAGCAATCCTACCAACATGTAAAACAATTACAGGCTTTTGTTTTACACTCACTTGGCAGGACGGTAGTACCTCCCTGGGTGGTTGCTGTCTACCAACCTACTACATATTTTCCCAAATTCATTCACAAGCCGATGCGACTTATTTTCAAAATCTTCCTAAAGAACCGTCATCAGTAAAGAACAATTAAGACAATACCCATTCTCTCTTATCAGATTCTTCATCTTTTAATCAGATACCTCTCTCCAAAATGATAGCATTCACTTCTTTTACAATCCATCTATAAAGATTTTAAACAACCAAGGTGATATCGTGCACATTCTTTTCAATTCCAAAATTTTTAATTAAACATGTAGTTTAATTTAAAATTTTTAATTAAATTTTTAATTAAACTTTTTTTTTTTCAACAATTCGGCCATCTCCCACCGAGGCAGGGTGACCCAAAAAAGAAAATACTTTCATCATTCAACACTTTCACCTCACTCACACATAATCACTGTTTTTGCAGAGGTGCTCAGAACACAACAGTTTAGAAGCATATACTTATAAAGATACACAACATATCCCTCCAAACTGCATTTTACTTCCTATTTCCAGGACTCAAGTCCGGCTATATAAAAATAATTAAAAATAATTAAACATGTAGTTTAATTTAAAATACTGTACTCCATATAGTATAATGGATCAAGTAGATATGGGAATGCATAAATTATTATAGCAGCTGATATTGGCACATATAATATGACACATTAAGTAAGAAAACATTAGGTATTATTGCACAAAATTTGTTTGCATCACATATTCATTTCTCCATGGGAAAGTGGAACAGAATTCTTCCTCTATAAGCCATGCGTGTCGTAAGTAGCGACTAAAATGCTAGGAACAAGGGTCTAGTAACCCCTTCTCCTGTATAAGTTACAAAATGAAAAAGGAAACTTTCATTTTTCTTTTAAGGTCACCCTGTCTCAGTGGGATATGGCTAGTTTGTTAAAAAAAAAAAATAACATTCATTATGAAAATGAATGACAATCATGACAGACATAACATTTTATTTCCTATTTTAACATTACATGACACTAACATATATAAAAAAAAATTAAACCAAAAGCTAATAGAGGCTACAGACTCCCATTTAATTTCTGAATCCGTATACCATACTGCAAATCCATTAAAAAATATTACACTGTCGAAACTATAATGAAGAAAGCATCATCTGATAGTAAACAAATGGGGGTATCACATACCTTTTTGAATGATAACATCCACAAGTGCCATGATGAATGCTGCTCCTATCACTACAAAATCAAATCTGCATTGAAAGTAAAGAGCATATTCATTATTTTTTAAAATGACATGAAATAAAAAGTATCTGTAAATTGTATTCATGCTCTTGGAAGACACCCAAGAGAACTAGGTATCATTCCTACTGAAGAGCTGGTGTATAGTGACTAGGTGCCAGAACTATGAAGTAAGTTTAGGTTAGCACATTACTGCACTTAGTATACCTTTTGAAACAAATAATGAAAATCCATCAATTTGCTGAGCTTTCCAATTTTGCAGACTTTGCTGCATGACTTTGAAAGCATGGCACACAAGCCACCAACTTACTGAAAAAATTTAGTGAAAAATTAATATTAAAAATTCAAAAACTCTTCTCAGGCAAAGACCATGGCACACCTGAGGATACAAGTCTTAGACTACTGAGAATAAAATACAAGTAACCATTTCTTTCTCATGCATGAATTATTGTTTTTATTTTTTAACACTGGCTGTCTCCCACTGAGATAGAGTGACCTGATGAAGAAAATACTTTCACTATCACTCATTCGATCACTGTCTTGCTAGAAGGGTACCAACATTACAGTTCAGATGACCTTCCAAACTGCAACATCCCCCACCCATTCTTCAGAGTGTAGGCACTGTACTTCCACCTCTAGGACTCAAGTCCAGCTAACTGGTTTCCCTGAATCCCTTCATAAACACAACCTTGCTTACTCCAACAGCACATCAGAGCATAAAAATCACTTGCCTTCTCTTCTCTTCTATCTAATCTGCTCACACAAGATATTGGATGTCCAAGTTCCCTAGCACCCAGACTGCTTTACCCTGTCCCTCTACCCATTCATAGGATGACCCCTTCTCCTCCTTACCTACACTCCAGATTTATTATTACTTTTATTTTGAAAAATTAAGTGCTAATTGTGACTGAAGCATAATTAAGCAAGATATTACACATATGGTAAATATTTTTTTTTTTTTTTTTAACAAGTTGGCCGTCTCCCAGCAAGGCAGGGTGACCCAAAAAAGAAAGAAAATCCCCAAAAAGAAAATACTTTCATCATCATTCAACACTTTCACCACACTCACACACTATCACTGTTTTTGCAGAGGTGCTCAGAATACAACAGTTTAGAAGCATATACATATAAAGATACACAACATATCCCTCCAAACTGCTAATATCTCAAACCTCTCCAATTACAAATAAATACACTGCACTGTATAATTAATTATCTAAAACGGTAATTTGCTATTTTCTTAAATTACACGATACAGAACTTTAAGGACTTTTCTTTTTCTTTTTGGGCCACCTTGCCTTGGTGGGATACGGCTGGTTTGTTGAAAGAAAGAAAAAAGAACTTAAGGCCAATCTATTTTAACACACTTACAAATTCCACATCCTCCTGAAGAAACGTCTGAATCCCAGGACATATAATTTGAGAAGAATCTCCAGCAAGAAGAAGGAAAGGAAAAACCATTCAGCAGCATCATCCCAGTTTGACTGAGAGGTTGAGATGCCAATCACAACAGCATTGACTAATGTCAAAAAATCAAAAAATATCTGGAACAGTCTGTAACAAAAAATTCTATGATTGAAAAATTCCAATACAAGTTACCAGGCTTAAGATTACTGTGCTCATTTAGTCAAAAAATCTGTCATAAGCCATAAAGTAATCCAGTAGAATCATAGTGGTAAACTGAAATATAATCCCACAGAATTATAGTGGTAAACTGAATTATAATCCTACAGAATTGTAGTGGTACTGTAATCTGAATTACAATCCTGCAGAATTATAGTGGTAAACTGAATCACAATCCTGCAGAATTATAGTAGTAAATTGAACTATAATCCTACAGAATTATAGTGGTAAACTGAATAAAAATCCTGCAGAATTTATTTATTTATTTATTATTATTTTTTTTTTTTATTATCACACTGGCCGATTCCCACCAAGGCAGGGTGGCCCGAAAAAGAAAAACTTTCACCATCATTCACTCCATCACTGTCTTGCCAGAAGGGTGCTTTACACTACAGTTTTTAAACTGCAACATTAACACCCCTCCTTCAGAGTGCAGGCACTGTACTTCCCATCTCCAGGACTCAAGTCCGGCCTGCCGGTTTCCCTGAACCCCTTCATAAATGTTACTTTGCTCACACTCCAACAGCACGTCAAGTATTAAAAACCATTTGTCTCCATTCACTCCTATCAAACACGCTCACGCACGCCTGCTGGAGTCCAAGCCCCTCGCACACAAAACCTCCTTTACCCCTTCCTCCAACCTTTCCTAGGCCAACCCCTACCCCGCCTTCCTTCCACTACAGACTGATACACTCTTGAAGTCACTCTGTTTCGCTCCATTCTCTCTACATGTCCGAAACCACCTCAAACAACCCTTCCTCAGCCCTCTGGACAACAGTTTTGGTAATCCCGCACCTCCTCCTAACTTCCAAACTACGAATTCTCTGCATTATATTCACACACACACATTGCCCTTAGACATGACATCTCCACTGCCTCCAGCCTTCTCCTTGCTGCAACATTCATCACCCATGCTTCACACCCATATAAGAGCGTTGGTAAAACTATACTCTCATACATTCCCCTCTTTGCCTCCAAGGACAAAGTTCTTTGTTCACAGACTCTAAGTTGCACCACTCACCCTTTTCCCCTCATCAATTCTATGATTCACCTCATCTTTCATAGACCCATCCGCTGACACGTCCACTCCCAAATATCTGAATACATTCACCTCCTCCATACTCTCTCCCTCCAATCTGATATCCAATCTTTCATCACCTAATCTTTTTGTTATCCTCATAACCTTACTCTTTCCTGTATTCACTTTTAATTTTCTCTTTGCACACCCTACCAAATTCACCCACCAATCTCTGCAACTTCTCTTCAGAATCTCCAAGAGCCACGGTGTCATCAGCAAAGAGCAACTGTGACAACTCCCACTTTATGTATGATTCTTTATGTTTTAACTCCACGCCTCTTGCCAAGACCCTCACATTCACCTCTCTTACAACCCCATCTATAAATATATTAAACAACCACAGTGACATCACACATCCTTGTCTAAGGCCTACTTTTACTGGGAAATAATTTCCCTCTTTCCTACATACTCTAACTTGAGCCTCGCTATCCTCGTAAAAACTCTTCACTGCTTTCAGTAACCTACCTCCTACACCATACACCTGCAACATCTGCCACACTGCCCCCCTATCCACCCTGTCATACGCCTTTTCCAAATCCATAAATGCCACAAAGACCTCTTTAGCCTTATCTAAATACTGTTCACTTATATGTTTCACTGTAAACACCTGGTCCACACACCCTCTACCTTTCCTAAAGCCTCCTTGTTCATCTGCTATCCTATTCTCCGTCTTACTCTTAATTCTTTCAATAATAACTCTACCATACACTTCACCAGGTATACTCAACAGACTTATCCCCCTATAATTTTTGCACTCTCTTTTGTCCCCTTTGCCTTTATACAAAGGAACTATGCATGCTCTCTGCCAATCCCTAGGTACCTTACCCTCTTCCATACATTTATTAAATAATTGCACCAACCACTCCAAAACTATATCCCCACCTGCTTTTAACATTTCTATCTTTATCCCATCAATCCCAGCTGCCTTACCCCCTTTCATTTTACCTGCATAATTTTTTATTTTATTATTATCACACTGGCCGATTCCCACCAAGGCAGGGTGGCCCAAAAAAGAAAAACTTTCACCATCATTCACTCCATCACTGTCTTGCCAGAAGGGTGCTTTACACTACAGTTTTTAAACTGCAACATTAACACCCCTCCTTCCTGCAGAATTATAGTGGTAAATTGATTTTTCATTCTAAACCTATATGAAAGTTAGAAAATTGACTTATACCAAACGGAAACACTTACTTGTGTTTAACAATACGACAAAGTACCCGTGATGGCTTGGAGTAGTAAATGGATGGTAAATAATGTCCAATAAATGTTGTTCTATCTACCACCTCTGATACCTCCACATTAAGTAAGTCTGCCAGCTTCAAAAACTCCCGTTTCTCTGCAATCCACAAAAATGTTATATGTACAGTATTTCATGTGTATTAAATATTTAAATGATCAGCATTGCTAATACAGTATATACTGTACGTGTACAAATTTAAATGAAAATGAAACAAAAATGCTATTTTTTTTAACACTCTAGCTGTCTCCCACTAAGGTAGGGTGACTCAAAAAAGAAACACTTTCACCATCATTCATTCTATCATAACCAAGGTGATAATATGCCAACACAACAAAATATGCTAAATAAAATGATCCTATCTTTGCTTAGCTATTAAACAAAAAGATGAAGGTTAATGAAGTTACCAAGACAGTCTGAGCCATCACAGTCCAATACAATCCACATAACGTTGATAAAAGCTGGATTCTTTTTGCTGTCGAGTAATTTCATCAACTGCACAAATCGGCTCCTGGTTATTACCTTCCTAAGAGATTAAACATGAAAATTAGCCAACTGTGAGCAAAAAGAGGAATATAAAAATTAATATAGTATTTACAAAAAACATATCACCCCTCCTCCACTGACACAGGATCAACCACATGCACAAGAAAATAATACGAGTTATACATTTTGTTTATAAAATGAAGTAACTAAATATAAATCCAAGTACATATACTGTCAATCTTATGGTAGGCAGTAAACTAACTGGTCTTGGCTACTTGCTTTAAAATTTTTAGGAGCCAAGTACCCACTTTTATCACCTAATTAAGTGGAATTTCACATGTACCCCTGGATTTATTACTCGCTCATCAGTCATGCATGGAAAAGACATTAGATAATGGTGAGAAGAACTATGTTTATTCATTACTCAAATCATTTAGGAAAAGTTAGACAATTTAACTGTGCATCACATCTCGTCTCATAGGTAGTAGTCATGTCCACTTACCAACCTAACCTAGCATCTGCTGATGCTGCAATGTTATTCCTTCAAAGGGCAGCTAGAATGGAGGAATTGTTGTTAGAAAAACTGTTCCGAGGGTTAACTTTAAATTTTGTTGAAACATAACCATATCATTTTTTTGCTGTACAGCATGAAATATTAACACACCTACCATCCGACTTACGACCTGCTCGACTTAATACCACTCGGCTTATGACCATGTTTTTTTTGCCAAATTTCTGGGAAATAAACAACTATTTGTGTTGTACACAGTGTTTATCCTAAACCTTACAGTATAAAATACAGTACTAACAGCATAAAAAGTAAAGTAAAACATGAAATACCAAAATAAAACTATAAAATAAAGTCATTACAAAAATGTGATGTTGATATTCAGTAGTAAAGTTCGACTTACGTCCATTTCGACTTACGACCGGTTTCTCGGAACCGAACTCGGTCGTAAGTCGGATGGTAGGTGTACATACATGGCAGTTTTCAGGAACATAATACTACACCATGGTGTACAAATGATGACAATTAAGTTTTTCTCAATAACCTGAGCAACCATGGTGATGACCATTGGAAAGATGGTAACATATGTCCAGTAATCTTTTTTTGACTGATAGATTTAAATACATTCACTGAAATATGGTACTATCTATAGCGTTTTAGTGTAGGTCTTGATGTTTGGCTACATTTTGTAACAAAATGTGTATTTCTCAAATGTACGATTCAATAGCTGTGGTTCATTTTTCCTCAATTGTTGAATCAAATATAATGATGTATTATATGTAAAAACTCAATGACACAAAATAATTATTTTTTATTAACACATTAGCCATCTCCCACTGAGGCAGGGTGACCCAAGAAAGAAGAAACACTTTCATCATCATTCACTCCATTACTGTCTTGCCAGAGGCATGCCTACACTACAGTTATAAAACTGCAACTTATCAACTTCCCTCCCTCAGAGCACAGGCACTGTACTTCCCACCTCCAGGACTCAAGTCTGGCTAACTGGTTTCCCTGAATTCCTTCGTAAATGTTACTTTGCTCACACTCCAGCAGCATGTCAAGTCATATTAACCATTAGTCTCCGCTCACTTCTATCTAACACATCATGCACGCTTCCTGGAAGCCCAAGCCCCTTGCACACAAAACCTTCTTTACCCCTTCCCTCCAACATTTCCTAGGATGACTCCTACTCCACCTTCCTTCCACTACAGATTTATATGCCCTCCAAGCCATTCTATTTTGTTCCATCCTCTCTAAATGTCCAAACCACCTCAACAACCCTTCCTCTGCCCTCTGGATAATACTTTTAGACACCCTGCACCTCCTTCTTATCCCCAAGCTACGGATTCTCTTCATTATATTCACACTCCACATTGCTCTCAGACATGACGTCTCCACGGCCTCCACCCATCCTTCACACCCATATAATAGCACTGGTACCACTATACTCTCACACATACCCTCTCTTTGCTTCCATGAATAACGTTTTTTGTCTCCACAGACTCCTCAGTGCTCCACTCACCTTATTCCCCTCACCAATTCTATGATTCACCTCATCTTGCATAGACCCATCTGCTGACAAGTCCACTCCCAAATATCTGAATACATACATTCATTTCCTCCATACTCCCTTCCTCCAACCTGATATCCACTCTTTCATTACCTAATTTTTTTGTTGTCCTCATCATCTTACTCTTTCCAACATTCATTTTTAATTTCCTTCTTTTACATTCACCACTCCTGCAACTTCTCTTCAGAATCTCACAAAAGCACAGTGTCACCAGCAAAAATGCAACTGTGATAACTCCCACTTTGTGTTAGATTCTTTATCTCTTAATCCCACACCTCTTGCCAACACCCGAGCATCCACTTCTCTTACAAGCCCATCTATAAATATATTGAACCATGGTGACATCATGCATCCCTGTCTATGGCCTACTTTTACTGGGAAATAATCTCCCTCTCCTAAGTACTCTAACTTGAGCCTCACTATCCTCGTAAAAACTCTTAACAGCTTTCAGTAACCTACCATCTATTCCATACATTTGTAACATCTGCCACACTGCTTCCCTATCAAACTAAAAAACACTCCCTTGTAATAAGTTTAACCAGATTACATGTAGTGTATCTTACTTCCTCAGGCTGCTATCCACAACATTCAACTCTTGGCTACTTTTTACTGCCAATGAAGAAAATATAATGAGGCTTGTCCATATGTCTCACTGAACCTATGTCCATTCAGCTGTAAGCTGAAAGAACTAACAATGAGATATAAGTCCCAAGGCATAGGGGAAAGAGGAAATTTATCAGTGATACTATTACCAGTGTAATTTGCTGAATGCATTGCATATAAATTATTTAAGGCACCATAATAGTTGAGTATATTTTCTGTTATACAGAGCATGAAAAATGGTTATTTGCATAAGCCAGTATTTATGATTTTTTCTTTTCTGAACATATTTTATAATTATTAGGAGAAACCTCTAATCAAAGTGCACCCTTTCATGACGGACATACTGTAATGATTAAATTTTTTTTATTATCACACCGGCCGATTCCCACCAAGGCAGGGTGGCCCGAAAAAGAAAAACTTTCACCATCATTCACTCCATCACTGTCTTGCCAGAAGGGTGCTTTACACTACAGTTTTTAAACTGCAACATTAACACCCCTCCTTCAGAGTGCAGGCACTGTACTTCCCATCTCCAGGACTCAAGTCCGGCCTGCCGGTTTCCCTGAATCCCTTCATAAATGTTACTTTGCTCACACTCCAACAGCACGTCAAGTATTAAAAACCATTTGTCTCCATTCACTCCTATCAAACACGCTCACGCATGCCTGCTGGAAGTCCAAGCCCCTCGCACACAAAACCTCCTTTACCCCCTCCCTCCAACCCTTCCTAGGCCGACCCCTACCCCGCCTTCCTTCCACTACAGACTGATACACTCTTGAAGTCATTCTGTTTCGCTCCATTCTCTCTACATGTCCGAACCACCTCAACAACCCTTCCTCAGCCCTCTGGACAACAGTTTTGGTAATCCCGCACCTCCTCCTAACTTCCAAACTACGAATTCTCTGCATTATATTCACACCACACATTGCCCTCAGACATGACATCTCCACTGCCTCCAGCCTTCTCCTCGCTGCAACATTCATCACCCACGCTTCACACCCATATAAGAGCGTTGGTAAAACTATACTCTCATACATTCCCCTCTTTGCCTCCAAGGACAAAGTTCTTTGTCTCCACAGACTCCTAAGTGCACCACTCACTCTTTTTCCCTCATCAATTCTATGATTCACCTCATCTTTCATAGACCCATCCGCTGACACGTCCACTCCAAATATCTGAATACGTTCACCTCCTCCATACTCTCTCCCTCCAATCTGATATTCAATCTTTCATCACCTAATCTTTTTGTTATCCTCATAACCTTACTCTTTCCTGTATTCACCTTTAATTTTCTTTTTTTGCACACCCCCTACCAAATTCATCACCAATCTCTGCAACTTCTCTTCAGAATCTCCCAAGAGCACAGTGTCATCGGCAAAGAGCAGCTGTGACAACTCCCACTTTGTGTGTGATTCTTTATCTTTTAACTCCACGCCTCTTGCCAAGACCCTCGCATTTACTTCTCTTACAACCCCATCTATAAATATATTAAACAACCACGGTGACATCACACATCCTTGTCTAAGGCCTACTTTTACTGGGAAAAAATTTCCCTCTTTCCTACATACTCTAACTTGAGCCTCACTATCCTCGTAAAAACTCTTCACTGCTTTCAGTAACCTACCTCCTACACCATACACTTGCAACATCTGCCACATTGCCCCCCTATCCACCCTGTCATACGCCTTTTCCAAATCCATAAATGCCACAAAGACCTCTTTAGCCTTATCTAAATACTGTTCACTTATATGTTTCACTGTAAACACCTGGTCCACACACCCCCTACCTTTCCTAAAGCCTCCTTGTTCATCTGCTATCCTATTCTCCGTCTTACTCTTAATTCTTTCAATTATAACTCTACCATACACTTTACCAGGTACACTCAACAGACTTATCCCCTATAATTTTTGCACTCTCTTTTATCCCCTTTGCCTTTATACAAAGGAACTATGCATGCTCTCTGCCAATCCCTAGGTACCTTACCCTCTTCCATACATTTATTAAATAATTGCACCAACCACTCCAAACTATATCCCCACCTGCTTTTAACATTTCTATCTTTATCCATCAATCCCGGCTGCCTTACCCCCTTTCATTTTACCTACTGCCTCACGAACTTCCCCCACACTCACAACTGGCTCTTCCTCACTCCTACAAGATGTTATTCCTCCTTGCCCTATACACGAAATCACAGCTTCCCTATCTTCATCAACATTTAACAATTCCTCAAAATATTCCTTCCATCTTCCAATACCTCTACCTCTCCATTTAATAACTCTCTCTCCTATTTTTAACTGACAAATCCATTTGTTCTCTAGGCTTTCTTAACTTGTTAATCTCACTCCAAAACTTTTTCTTATTTTCAACAAAATTTGTTGATAACATCTCACCCACTCTCTCATTTGCTCTCTTTTTACATTGCTTCACCACTCTCTTAACTTCTCTCTTTTTCTCAATATACTCTTCCCTCCTTGCATCACTTCTACTTTGTAAAACTTCTCATATGCTAACTTTTTCTCCCTTACTACTCTCTTTACATCATCATTCCACCAATCGCTCCTTTCCCTCCTGCACCCACTTTCCTGTAACCACAAACTTCTGCTGAACACTCTAACACTACATTTTTAAACCTACCCCATACCTCTTCGACCCATTGCCTATGCTCTCATTAGCCCATCTATCCTCCAATAGCTGTTTATATCTTACCCTAACTGCCTCCTCTTTTAGTTTATAAACCTTCACCTCTCTCTTCCCTGATGCTTCTATTCCCCTTGTATCCCATCTACCTTTTACTCTCAGTGTAGCTACAACTAGAAAGTGATCTGATATATCTGTGGCCCCTCTATAAACATGAAACATCCTGAAGTCTACTCAACAGTCTTTTATCTACCAATACATAATCCAACAAACTACTGTCATTTCGCCCTACATCATATCGTGTATACTTATTTATCCTCTTTTTCTTAAAATATGTATTTACCTATAACTAAACCCCTTTCTATACAAAGTTCAATCAAAGGGCTCCCATTATCATTTACCCCCTGGCACCCCAAACTTACCTACCACACCCTCTCTAAAAGTTTTCTCCTACTTTAGCATTCAAGTCCCCTACCACAATTACTCTCTCACTTGGTTCAAAGGCTCCTATACATTCACTTAACATCTCCCAAAATCTCTCTCTCTCCTCTGCATTCCTCTCTTCTCCAGGTGCATACACGCTTATTATGACCCACTTCTCGCATCCAACCTTTACTTTAATCCACATAATTCTTGAATTTACACATTCATATTCTCTTTTCTCCTTCCATAACTGATCATTTAACATTACTGCTACCCCTTCCTTTGCTCTAACTCTCTCAGATACTCCAGATTTAATCCCATTTATTTCCCCCCACTGAAACTCTCCTACCCCCTTCAGCTTTGTTTCGCTTAGGGCCAGGACATCCAACTTCTTTTCATTCATAACATCAGCAATCATCTGTTTCTTGTCATCCGCACTACATCCACGCACATTTAAGCAACCCAGTTTTATAAAGTTTTTCTTCTTCTCTTTTTTAGTAATTGTATACAGGAGAAGGGGTTACTAGCCCATTGCTCCCGGCATTTTAGTCGCCTCATACGACACGCATGGCTTACGGAGGAAAGATTCTTTTCCACTTCCCCATGGACAATAGAAGAAATAAAAAAGAACAAGAGCTATTTAGTGATTAAAGTTCTGTATTTAGTGATTAAAGTTCTGTATTAATGAATCAGGAATACAGTGGAACCCCGGATTTCGTACTTAATTCATTCCAAAAGGTCATTTTAAATCCAAAACATACGAAAACCGAAGTAATATTTCCCATAAGAAATAATGTAAATCCAATTAATTCGTTCCAGACACACAAAAATATTCACAAAAGAAATTAATTTTTTAAAGAATAACTATAGTTTTACATACAGAAAACAATGAGAAATAAATATAAAGCACTAATTTTAATGATAAATGAACATTACTTACCTTTATCCCAGACTCTTGTTGGCAAGCTTGGCTAAATGTACGCCACTTTCATATTTTTCTACAATACTTTTCTTGAATTCTATCTTGTTTCTCACTTTCTTTATCAAAGGGCTGGCACTAAGAACTTTCTTTGGGCCCACGGTGGCTTATTTCGCAGTCCCAATCAATAAACAAGCGCAAAAATTGTGAAAAGTTTCGGATGAATGCTCACTCAACCAGTGACGAAGCCAGACTGACGGCGTTCCCGGGCAGGCGGATGCATCTGATACGTACAATTCCCAGGACAAGGTACGAAATCCAGAGCAAAATTTCGCTCAAAAGTGTTCTAAATCCTGAACATCTGATATCCGGTGCAAGCATAATCCGGGGTTACACTGTATATAAATTACCTTATATAGTATGCAGTAAGCACTGCATTTAAATATTCACAAAAGAGTTACACAAACCCTTTTAACAAAATTTAAGTCACCCCATCCCCATTAAAACCAAGTTTTTATCACTGTGTGCAGAGTTTAAGATGACCCAGCAAGTACTCAGCTAAGTCACTGCATATTTCCTAGGAAAACTTTGTGCAGTCCAGCAGGTATGAGTGCCTCTGGTTGAAAAACCCTACTATGTAGGAAGTGGCAAAGAAAAAAAACTCTCTTATTTCACTGATAAGTCATTTCTTGACTACACTCATCGCAGTGCCACTTGATCTCAATTTTATCTACCTTCTTATCAATAAATAATGCATTCTTATTCTTTGCCTTTTTTTTCTCCTACTTAAGCTTCATAAATTTTCAACTAGAAGTCTATTTTCTCAAGTGATTACAGGTATCATTCAACCTCTGCTAGAAAACCTTGCTACAGTCTAATATATTATCAGATCAATAATCATTAAATATTCTTCTTTTCTACGTGCAAGTGTTCTGTCATAACTCATGTTACAGCTTTATAATTTATGTAACAAATCTTAAAACAATATTTTTTCACTAAATTAAATTTTTTATAGCATTTTCCCTTAAATTTCTGCACCCTCACTCTTAATGGATTCTACAAATATTTATTAACTAGTCTTAATTTACCTAGGTAGTAGGTTGGTAAACAGCAACCGCCCAGAGAGGTACTAGCGTCCTGCCAAGCGAGTGTAAAACGAAAGCCTGTAATTGTTTTACATGATGATAGGATTGCTGGTGTCCCTTTTTTCTGTCTCATAAACATGCAAGATTTCAGGTACGTCTTGCTACTTCTACTTACACTTAGGTCACACTACACATTTATGTACAAGCATATATATATACAGTGGACCCCCGCTTAACGATCACCTCCAAATGCGACCAATTACATGTATGTAAGTGTATTTATGTAAGTGCGTTTGTACGTGTTTGTTTGGGGGTCTGAAATGGACTAATCTACTTCACAATATTCCTTATGGGAAAAAATTCGGTCAGTACTGGCACCTGAACATACTACTGGAATGAAAAAAGTTCGTTAACCGGGGGTCCACTGTATATATACACACACTCCTCTGGGTTTTCTGCTATTTTCTTTCTAGTTCTTGTTCTTGTTTATTTTCTCTTATCTCCATGGGGAAGTGGAACAGAATTCTTCCTCTGTAAGCCATGTGTGTTGTAAGAGGCGATTAAAATGCCAGGGGCAAGGGGCTAGTAACCCCTTCTCTTGTATAAATTACTAAATTTAAAAAGAGACACTTTCGTTTTTCTTTTTGAGCCACCCTGCCTTGGTGGGATACAGCCGGTTTGTTTAAAAAAAAAAAAATCTTAATTTAGTTACAATGGTCACTTACTGGCCTTCTGATTTGATGGCAAGGATTTCAAAGGCTTTGCTGAGCTGCTGGCGTTTACTGAATACTGTTTTCCTTACTTCATTCTGTTGGATAAAAATTTGATTATTTTTAACTGTGTTATACAGTGACTCACCTGCTTGCTGAGTACTACCTTAGCCTCAAATATTCAATATTAGATATAGAAACAGTGTAGAATAGGTGATTCCTACCTGCCCTCCCTTCCCTCAAAATATACTTGAAATACCTTTGTCATCCAACCCTTCCACTATTTTTTTTCCAATTCCTCATTCTCACTTTTCCTCTTAATATCAAACTATTTCAAAATTATTCCTTCTTAATCCTTCAACTCTTGTTACAATAACAACTATATGAATACTGTTTCATTACAGATCAATGAGTCTAATCTTTTAGTTTCTACTTATTGATCTTCCTCAATAAAAGACAAAAGGCAGAAGACATTTAAAGTATGCCTTCAATAAGCCTTTAAGAGAAAATTCTATAATTTGAAATAGGTTATTACTATGAAAGGTACACTTCATCTACATTTAGATTTATTTTTCTCCTACAGAGATTTCATATTGTGTAATTCACTCAAGTACTGGTCCTCTGTGCGTGCGTGTGAAGATTAACCCAATAACTGCCAATTAGAGATGAGGAAGGAGAATTAGCTTCACATATAAGACATCATATCTATCTTTAATGCTATTTGCTTGGATTAAAAAGTCATAAATATTCATCTGTAAAAAAGTGAGAAATCATTTACTGTAGTCAAAAATTAACATGTTAAAAAAATATGTATGTTTTAGCCTCCATCAGAGATGTCTTTCATCTGCTGAAGGTCTCTGACTAAGGTCAAATACGTACATAAACCTATTTTACATTTATTTCATTTTTCTGTCCAAGTGGTTTCTCACATTACTGCTATTTGCTAAAAAGATAAATAGCAAGTACAGTATAATATTTAATCACACACATGCTGTGCTAACTTACAGCTATGTCTAATGTGTTCATCAAAGTCTATTTCAATGAGAATATTTTTGTTATACTGAACACACTAAAAATAAAGACATACGTACTTTAAGATGTTTCCTGTAGTTGTTATAGATTACAGCAAGAATGATGTTCATGTAGATGAAGAAGCATATCACAAGGAATGCCACGAAGAAAATCACATAATATGCTGAATCATCGAATGCTGGCATCCTGATTAGTAAGAAAAACATTTGCTTAATTAAATATAAGGACATATTCAGATTAGTAACAGTTACTAAATTATAGCTATAGAAAAAAATACATCTAGTTGTACAGATACAGATGAATACAGTCACATACACAAATGATCACACTCAAACAAGTGCATGATTAAAATAATTAATGTGTCTTTGTTTCCAGAAATATACATAAAACAGTAGAGACTGATAAAAAAATACTGTATATATAATTAATATGACAATGAGGATGACATTCTCATGGTCCAATGGAAAACAAATCTGATATCATAGTTTTACATTCTGAACTCTGGCAAAAAGCTTGAAAAATACTTACATAAAATGAAAAAATACTTACATAAAATGAAAAAAAAAATACATACAGTGAAAAAAATACTTACATAACATGAAAATAATACTTATATTGAGAAAAATACTTACATAATATCAGGGTTGTTAGCAGTGGTGACTAAAACATAGAGGTCGAACAAACTGTCCCAGTAAGTTCCAAAGTAGGGTCGGCCATCCACCCAAGTCAGATTCCTAGTAGAAAACATGAATTATAGCGCTAGTATGGTAAATATTTCAAAGTGTGTTGTTATATGCACAGTTTATTATTTTACTAAATTTGGTGGGCATGCTACAATGCCTCAGTGTAAATTGAACCCTCACCACTTATTCATTAAGGAAACTGGTATAGACAAAAAAAAATATCTGCAAATGTCTAGTGCACAAAAAAACATCTTGCACTCCTTCTCATTAACAGATCACAATTTGCATCTACAGTATATCTAGAATCTAAATGACTATATTTTTTCAGACATTCAGTAACCATGAACTTCAGTAAGTAATAATAGCAGCATTGCAAACTCTCACTAGCCAAGAAACACTTCCTCGGACAGACACTGAAAACCATAATGACTGGTCTAACTCTTGCATTACTATATTTAATTTTTTTTGTTTTTGTTTTTTAAACAAGTCGGCTGTCTACCACCGAGGCAGGGTGACCCAAAAAGAAAGAAAATCCCCAAAAAGAAAATACGTACTTTCATCATCATTCAACACTTTCACCTCATTCACACATAATCACTGTTTTTGCAGAGGTGCTCAGAATACAACAGTTTAGAAGCATATACATATAAAGATACACAACATATCCCTCCAAACTGCCAATATCCCAAACCCCTCTTTTAAAGTGCAGGCATTGTACTTCCCATTTCTAGGACTCAAGTCCGGCTATATAAAAATAAATAGTAGTATATAAATAGTATATTTCTGGCTATTTACCGATAAACACACACTCCTGTTCCAATCTTTATTCACATACAGTAAAATCTTATATTACATGCAGTGACAAGAAGCTGCAAAATTTAATATAAAATACAGACTCTCCTCACTCAACAATGGAGTTCCATTCCTAAGACCACGTCGGTAAACAAATTCATCGCTAAGTGAGGAGCATACTATAATGGCAGTGGGTTTGTGTCAACCATCTTTGATATTGTTTTAATGTCACATTTGCACCATTTATAACATTTTTAGTATATTTTTAAAAGTTTATACAGTAGTGTAAAGTCTTGTTCTTCTGTCAATAAACCGGCTATATCCCACCAAGGCAGGGTGGCCCAAAAAGAAAAACAAAAGTTTCTCTTTTTAAATTTAGTAATTTTAACAGGAGAAGGGGTTACTAGCCCCTTGCACCTGGTATTTTACTTGCTTCTTACAACACACATGGCTTACAGAGGAAGAATTCTGTTCCACTTCCCAATGGAGATAAGAGGAAATAAACAAGAACAAGAACTAGAAAGAAAATAGAAGATAACCCAGAGGGGTGTGTGTATATATATACTTGTACATACAGTGGACCCCCGCATACAGTTGGCATCACATAACGTTAAATCCGCATACCGATACATTTTATCACTAAGATTTTGCCTCGCATACCGCTAAAAAACCCGCTCAGCGCTATTCGTCCGAGACGTGTCTAATGTGCGGCCTGAGCCAGCCTCACGTGTTCCGCCGGTGGCATTGTTTACCAGCCAGCCTCCGCGGTAACATCCAAGCATACAATCGGAACATTTCGTATTATTACAGTGTTTTTGGTGATTTTATCTGCAAAATAAGTGACCATGGGCCCCAAGAAAGCTTCTAGTGCCAACCCTACAGGAATAAGGGTGAGAATTACTATAGAGATGAAGAAAGAGATCATTGCTAAGTATGAAAGTGGAGTGCGTGTCTCCGAGCTGGCCAGGTTGTATAGTAAACCCCAATCAACCATTGCTACTATTGTGTCCAACAAAATGGCAATCAAGGAAGCTGTTCTTGCCAAAGGTTCAACTGTGTTTTCGAAACAGAGATCGCAAGTGATGGAAGATGCTGAGAGACTCTTATTGGTATGGATAAATGAAAAACAGATAGCAGGAGATAGCATCTCTCAGGTGATCATAAGTGAAAAGGCTAGGAAGTTGCATGAGGATTTAATTAAAAAAATGCCTGCAACTAGTGATGATGTGAGTGAATTTAAGGCCAGCAAAGGTTGGTTTGAGAGATTTAAGAAGCGTAGTGGCATAAATAGTGTGATAAGGCATGGTGAGGCTGCCAGTTCGGACCACAAAGCAGCTGAAAAATATGTGCAGGAATTCAAGGAGTACATAGACAGTGAAGGACTGAAACCTGAACAAGTGTTTAATTGTGATGAAACAGGCCTGTTTTGGAAGAAAATGCCAAGCAGAACCTACATTACTCAGGAGGAAAAGGCACTCCCAGGACATAAGCCTATGAAAGACAGGCTTACTCTGTTGATGTGTTCCAATGCTAGTGGTGATTGCAAAGTGAAGCCTTTATTAGTGTATCACTCAGAAACTCCCAGAGCATTCAGGCAAAAGAATATCCTCAAGGCTAATTTGTGTGTGCTGTGGAGGGCAAACAGTAAGGCATGGGTCACTAGGGACTTTTTCTATGACTGGTTACACCAAGCATTTGCCCCCAATGTGAAAGATTACCTAACTGAAAAGAAATTAGACCTTAAGTGCCTCCTGGTGTTAGACAATGCCCTGGTCATCCTACAGACGTGGCAGAGCGACTTTATGGGGACACGAGCTTCATTAAGGTGAAGTTTTGCCTCCTAATACCACTCCTCTCCTGCAGCCCATGGACCAGCAGGTTATTGCAAACTTCAAAAAACTGTACACAAAAGCTCTGTTTGAAAGGTGCTTTGTAGTGACCTCAGAAACTCAATTGACTCTAAGAGAGTTTTGGAGAGATCACTTTAATATCCTCAATTGTGTAAACCTTATAGGTAAGGCTTGGGAGGGAGTGACTAAGAGGACCTTGAACTCTGCTTGGAAGAAATTGTGGCCAGAATGTGTAGACCAAAGGGATTTTGAAGGGTTTGAGGCTAACCCTGGGAATCCTATGCCAGTTGAGGAATCCATTGTGGCATTGGGAAAGTCCTTGGGGTTGGAGGTTAGTGGGGATGATGTGGAAGAGTTGGTGGAGGAGGACAATGAAGAACTAACCACTGATGAGCTGCTAGATCAACTTCAACAGCAAGAGGCCAGACCTGAGGAAACTGGTTCGGAGGAGGGAGAGAGAAATTGAAGAAGTTGCCTACTTCAAAGATTAAGGAAATGTGTGGAATGTGGCTTAAAGTGCAAACCTTTTTTGATGACAATCACCCTAACACAGCTATTGCAAGCCGTGCTGGTGACTATTACACTGACACTGTTGTGAAACACTTTAGGAAAGTCATAAAGGAACGAGAGGTACAGGCCACTATGGACAGATATGTTGTGCGACAGAAGTCCAGTGACTCTGAAGCTGGTCCTAGTGGCATTAAAAGAAGAAGGGAAGTAACCCCAGAAAAGGACTTGACACCTCAAGTCTTAATGGAAGGGGATTCCCCTTCTAAACACTAAGACTCTCTCCTCCTCCCATCCCATCAATCATCACCAGATCTTCAATAAAGGTAAGTGTCATGTAACTGTGCATGCCTTTTTCAGTTTGTGTGTATTAAAATTAATATTTCATGTGGTAAAAAAAAATTTTTTCATACTTAGGGGTGTCTTGCACGGATTAATTTGATTTCCATTATTTCTTATGGGGAAAATTCATTCGCATAACGATAATTTCGCATAACAATGAGCTCTCAGGAACGGATTAATATCGCTATGCGGGGGTCCACTGTATATGTGTAGTGTGACCTAAGTGTAAGTAGAAGTAGCAAGACGTACCTGAAATCTTGCATGTTTATGAGACAGAAAAAAGGACACCAGCAATCCTAGCATCATGTAAAACAATTACAGGCTTTTGTTTTACATTCACTTGGCAGGACGGTAGTACCTCCCTGGGTGGTTGCTGTATACCAACCTACTACTTAGATAGTGTAAAGTACAGTGGACCCTCGACCAACGATATTAATCCGTTCCTGAGGGCTCATCGTTAGTCAAAATTATCGTTAGGCGAGTTAATTTTCCCCATAAGAAATAATGGAAATCAAATTAATCCGTACAAGACACTCAAAAGTATGAAAAAAAAAAATTTTACCACATGAAATATTAAATTTAATGCAATAGAATAATTACAATAACAACAATAACAATAGAATAATTGACACTTACCTGGTGATGATTGATGGGATGATCTGGTGATGATTGATGGGATGGGAGGAGGAGAGAGTCTTAGTGTTTAGAAGGGGAATCCCCTTCCATTAGGACTTGAGGACATTGTTTTTCCTGAACACTCTGGGAGTTTCAGAGTGATACACCAATAAAGGCTTCACTTTGCAATCACCACTAGCATTAGCACACATCAACAGAGTAAGCCTGTCTTTCATAGGCTTATGTCCTGGGAGTGCCTTTTCCTCCTGAGTAATGTAGGTCCTGCTTGGCATTTTCTTCCAAAACAGGCCTGTTTTGTCACAATTAAACACTTGTTCAGGTTTCAATTCTTCACTGTCTATGTACTCCTTGAATTCCTGCACATATTTTTCAGCTGCTTTTTGGTCCGAACTGGCAGCCTCACCATGCCTTATCACACTATGTATGCCACTACGATTCTTAAATCTCTCAAACTAACCTTTGCTGGCCTTAAATTCACTCACATCACCACTAGTTGCAGGCATTTTTATAATTAAATCGTCATGCAACTTCCTAGCCTTTTCACATATGATCGCTATCTGTTTTTCGTTTATCCACACCAATAACAGTCTCTCAACATCTTCTATCACTTGCGATCTCAGTTTCAAAAACATAGTTGCACCTTTGGCAAAAACAGCTTCCTTGATTGCCGTTTTCTTGGCCACAAGAGTAGCGATGGTTGACTGGGGTTTTGCGTACAACCTGGCCAGCTCGGAGACACGCACTCCACTTTCATACTTAGCAATGATCTCTTTCTTCATATCCATAGTAATTCTCACCCTTTTTGCTGTAGGGTTGGCACTAGAAGCTTTCTTGGGGCCCATGGTGGCTTATTTTGCAGGTGCAATCACTAAAAACGCTGTGATAATATGAAATGTTCCGATTGTATGTTTGGATGGGTCCGCGGTGGCTGGCTGGCTTGTAAACACTGGCCACAAGTGGACGCGTCTCGGACAGAACGAATCTCGTTGGTCGAGTTTTTTAGCGCTAGTTGAGGCAAAATTTTTGCGTTAAAATGTATCGCTAGTCGGATTTAACGTTAGACAATGCCAGCGTTGGTCGAGGGTCCACTGTATATTGTAATAAACAGAATAGAGGTATGGATACTGGTCAGAGAACCCGTCGTAAGCCCGAGTTGTCGTAAATGAGTACGTTGCTAAGTGAGGAGAGACTGTATATAGTACTATATGTACTTTTTTTTAACACACAGGCCTTCTCTCTTTTCTTGAGGAAGTGGAACAGAATTTTTCCTCCATAAGCCATGCATGTCGCATGAGGAGACTAAAATGCCGAGAGCAAGGGGCTAGTAACCTCTTCTCCTGTATACATTACTAAAGTTAGAGAGAAAAACTTATTTTTCTTTGTGGGCCACCCTGCTTCTGTGGGATATGGCCGGTTTGTTGAGAAAAGAAGAAGGCCTTCTCTCATCAAGGCAGGGTGACTCAAAAAAGAAACACTTTCACCATCATTCACACAATCACTGTTTTTACATAGGCACTCAGATAAGACAGTTCAGATGTCACTCTAAACAGAAAATATCCCAAACTCCTCCTTAATCTTCTTTCGACAAATCAGCCGTATCCTACCGATGCAAGGTGGCCCAAAAGAAAAAAATGAGAGTTTCTCCTTTTAAATTTAATAATGTATAAAGGAGAAGGGGTTACTAGCCCCTTGCTCTTGGCATTTTAGTCACCTCTTACGACACGCATGGCTCACGGATGACGAATTCTGTTCCACTCCCCCACTTCCTTAATATCTACAAATAAATCTAACATTTTTTATGATACATAACATCAAAAAGCTATCAATATAGTACAGTAATGTACAACATATGCAATAATTTTTAAGATTTTTTACTGTATACAATTAATAGGATAGCAGATGAACAAGGAGGCTTTAGGAAAGGTAGGGGGTGTGTGGACCAGGTGTTTACAGTGAAACATATAAGTGAACAGTATTTAGATAAGGCTAAAGAGGTCTTTGTGGCATTTATGGATTTGGAAAAGGCGTATGACAGGGTGGATAGGGGGGCAATGTGGCAGATGTTGCAGGTGTATGGTGTAGGAGGTAGGTTACTGAAAGCAGTGAAGAGTTTTTACGAGGATAGTGAGGCTCAAGTTAGAGTATGTAGGAAAGAGGGAAATTATTTCCCAGTAAAAGTAGGCCTTAGACAAGGATGTGTGATGTCACCGTGGTTGTTTAATATATTTATAGATGGGGTTGTAAGAGAAGTAAATGCGAGGGTCTTGGCAAGTGGCGTGGAGTTAAAAGATAAAGAATCACACATAAAGTGGGAATTGTCACAGTTGCTCTTTGCTGATGACACCGTGCTCTTGGGAGATTCTGAAGAGAAGTTGCAGAGATTGGTGGATGAATTTGGTAGGGTGTGCAAAAGAAGAAAATTAAAAGTGAATACAGGAAAGAGTAAGGTTATGAGGATAACAAAAAGATTAGGTGATGAAAGATTGGATATCAGATTGGAGGGAGAGAGTATGGAGAAGGTGAATGTATTCAGATATTTGGGAGTGGATGTGTCAGCTGATGGGTCTATGAAAGATGAGGTGAATCATAGAATTGATGAGGGAAAAATGGTGAGTGGTGCACTTAGGAGTCTGTGGAGACAAAGAACTTTGTCCTTGGAGGCAAAGAGGGGAATGTATGAGAGCATAGTTTTACCAACGCTCTTATATGGGTGTGAAGCATGGGTGATGAATGTTGCAGCGAGGAGAAGGCTGGAGGCAGTGGAGATGTCATGTCTGAGGGCAATGTGTGGTGTGAATATAATGCAGAGAATTCGTAGTTTGGAAGTTAGGAGGAGGTGCGGGATTACTAAAACTGTTGTCCAGAGGGCTGAGGAAGGGTTGTTGAGGTGGTTCAGACATGTAGAGAGAATGGAGCGAAACAGAGTGACTTCAAGAGTGTATCAGTCTGTAGTGGAAGGAAGGCGGGGTAAGGGTCGGCCTAGGAAAGGTTGGAGGGAGGGGGTAAAGGAGGTTTTGTGTGCGAGGGGCTTGGACTTCCAGCAGGCATGCGTGAGCGTGTTTGATAGGAGTGAATGGAGACAAATGGTTTTTAATACTTGACGTGCTGTTGGAGTGTGAGCAAAGTAACATTTATGAAGGGGTTCAGGGAAACCGGCAGGCCGGACTTGAGTCCTGGAGATGGGAAGTACAGTGCCTGCACTCTGAAGGAGGGGTGTTAATGTTGCAGTTTAAAAACTGTAGTGTAAAGCACCCTTCTGGCAAGACAATGATGGAGTGAATGATGGTGAAAGTTTTTCTTTTTCGGGCCACCCTGCCTTGGTGGGAATCGGCCAGTGTGATAATAAGAAAAAAAAAATTAATATATTGTGTAAAGATACTAATATGTTCTACTACAGATGTGTCCTGTAGCTCAATTGCTAGCACACTCGGCTCACACGCTGAGGTCCAGGGATCAATCCCCAGTACAGGTGCAAACATTTGGGCATGTTTCCTTAAGGCACCTGTTGTCGACGTTCACCTACCAGTGTTAGTCGACTGGTGTAGGTCACATCCTGGGGACAAAACTGACCTAATTTGCCCGAAATGCTCTGCATAACAAGGGGCTTTCTATATAGTAGTATGTCACTAAAGTCAGCTAAGCCTGTATACCTTGTACGTGTGCTTGAAGAAATCAAGATTATTATTATTACTTTTTTAACACGTCAGCCGTTTCCCACCGAGGCAGGGTGACCCAAAAAGAAAGAATAAACTTTCATCATCATTCAACACTTTCACCATCATTCATACGTAATCACTGTCTTTGCAGAGATGCAAAGACAGTATCTGAGTCTGTAGTCTGTAAAAGAAGCAAAAGATATAGATGATTGCATTAACAATGTGTACAACAATAAAGCAAAAATAAAAGCCCTTAAGCTTATGAATATTCTGCATCATCCTAAAAACTGCTGCAATAACAGACTGTATTAAAATAAAGCTATAACTCCTTTTCTAACCTGTCACCAAACAGCTTGAAAGCCATGAGAGCAAATATAGCCAAACTGAAGAAGAAGAGAAACAGTACATTGACTACATCAGGAAGCGTTCTTCGGAGGTTGCGGAAGGCTCTTCTAATCTGACGCATCTCAGGAAAGTTCACAGCAAACAGAGGTCGCAGAACCCGAGACCATCTGAAAATCCACAATTTACATGCATGTAATCAAGGAACTATATGAAGTAAAATACAAAATCATTCTATTATGTAACTCATGTAGAATAACAACAATGATAATAATGCAATAATAATTAATGCAGTGAGTCCTCCATTTAATGAACAAATAGAGGAGGGGAGAGGACAGACAGTTTTGGTGACTGTGGTGGATCGAGATAAGATTGTTTTTCTGTGATCAGATCAAAATAATGATGAAAATTTCAATAACCAACAAACTCTGACCACTGGTCACTTTCAGCCCATATTTCCAAAGTTCATTAAATCAAGGGTTTACTGTATATTGCAATGCACAAATTTAACATGCTTATATTCCACTAAATGTAAGCTGCCAAATAAAATAATTATAATTAGAATGCTTACTATAGTAGTGAATACTGTTCCAGCTTTCCTAGTTTTGAGCAAAAGAATGAATTTTGAGAAAGTTAAAAAAAAGGTACATTCATGCATAGCCATCATATGGTTATGTAGTAGGAGGGTGGAGACATACCAGACCTACACCACATGCATATTGCATATTATTAAATTTATTTAATTTCTGCTAGGTTAGTTTAACATGTATGGTTAGTTTAAGTAAGTTTAGTATGCATGATTAAAGTATAATACTAACTGTGACAGGTGGCTAGGGGTAGAAATTCTATGTCAGCAAAATATGATTCCTGCTGAATACTAACTAAATAATACAGGGAGGGAGAGGAAGAGTAGGAGTGAAGGGTCAAAAGAGGGAGAGAGGGGTAAGGATGGAAGGGTGGGAGGGAGGGAGGGAAAATTAAAGGAGAGAAAAAAGGAGAGGGAGGGAAGGCAAAGGGAGGAAGGAAGGGATGGAATAAGAAAAAGGGTGATTGAGTACTTATTCTTTAACCAATGAATTCTGTCCCTTAATTCTGAATCTAGTGACCCAGTGGATTCTATTCTGTACAGGAGGGCCTTGCTCATACATTAAGTAAAGTGGCGGGGTTACTGCTGTAAACAAAAATTATATAGTGAAGCATAGCCTTTTTTCACTTTCAAATACATATAAAAGCCTGATAACATGTTTCCAATATCATTTATTAAGTGAGCAACAGAGCTAGGCCTAATAAATGCACTTATAGTACACACATCACTTATTTCAAAATATTTTTGTCTTTACCTTATAGTAAGTGGTGAATATGTTTATTGTAGGAAGTCTGAATAAATGAAGAATGGGTAGAATTGAAAACTGCTGTATTAGCAAAATGCTGTAAAGCAAAGCACTCTAAAGTGGGGCCTGCCTGTATTTAAAAAGTCCATTAAATTAAGGTTTGATAAATCAAGGGTGTATTATATAACTGTATCCATGTGGAAACAATAAACCTATACAAGTCATACATCACTGGGAATGGGAGGTGTTCAGATGCATCCAAGGCAGGGTACAGTAACTCCAGTTACTTGGATAAAGAGCCTTTGGAAGGTTACAAAGTCTTTAACACTTGATACCAAAGGCACCTTCAGCAGGAATCATATTTTGCTGACACAGAATTTCTACCCCTAGCTACCTGTCACAGTTAGCCAGAATTTATTGCAAGATGAATACAGTATGTAATTGAAAAGCTCTTCACAAAATGTTTCAAGCAGCTGGAAAATGCTGACAGTGATGAAATGATAGCTACAGTTTTAGGGAAGACTTCATTCCATTAGTCCTGACTGAAGCACTCAAGAATTACCACTATAATACTATATATAGAACACAGGCATACCTTGCTAATACAGTAGGTTAGGTTCCAGACTTCAAACAAATCACAGCCTATTTTTCACTTGCCAGTGCAGAAAAAAGCTTAAAAAGATGCTAACACTATCATTTATTAAGTGTGCAATAGCACTAGGCCTAAAAAAACTATGCAAAAGTAAAAATAATGAATAAAAAAATAGCACTGGTCAGCTCATGTGCACATCACTGCTGAAAATAATGAACATGAATATAACTGAAAAGCACAGTATTAGTGAAGTGTTCTAAAGTTAAGTGCCACATTAGGGAGGTATGCCTGCAGTATACCTTTATATTAAGAAAGCTATGATACAAGATTAAGTCACAAGTTACAAGAGTTAAGTCACGAAAAATAACTAGGAAAAGTTAATCATTTTTTAAACTTACCGAATACCATAGTTGCCACTTTCTATTAGTCCAATATATATAACGATGTCTAAAAAAGTAAGCTGAAAAACCATTTTAAAATAAGTAAATAAGAGACAAGCAAATAAAAATGCATACATTAAAATAAAACAACAATACCAGTAAAATGCATTAAGAAAGCTATAAAGATAAAGCAATGATAAATTAAAAGGGCTTAGCTATGCATATAGATACTATTTAAGGCAAATACATTATGTGCTTCCTTGTTATCAATGATTTATCAAGCAAGTCTGTTAATTCATTGCTTAGAAGCCGCTAATATATAAAAAGATTATGTTGGTCCAACCATTTCCCTCTCATACTAGCATAATCTAAACTTGCAAAAGATGTATTAAAAAAAAATCTAAGCAATCCAATAAGTATGTTAGCCAATCATGCATCAAAATGCCCACAGAAAAATCAAAACTAATATTTCAGGCACAACAGCAGAGAAAATTAGTAACAAAATTCTACTGTAAATGCACTATATGGGGCATAAAAATTTTGAATATAAGTGTTGAAATACTCACCCCAACAAATACTAAAATCAAAATATTCTTAGTATCTGACCAGAATCGAGTGAGAGGAGTGAAGACGCTGATGTGTAATAGTCGAAAGAGATAAAAGAACAAAATGCCTATTTCTATAGTAATGGTAACCTGTAAAAGGAGAAAAAAGTACACAAGGTTATCAGTATAAAATAAATCCATGACTGATTATATATTATAACAACATTTAGAAATAATGAAGTTCATATATATAGGGCATTTAGTGGTTTGTAAAGTTAACAATGCATGGATAACATGTTACACATCACTCTGCTGGCTAAATGAACGATATGATAATGGATATTGGGAATATCAGTCAAGTACTGTAAATAATAATTTCAGAGAATAGTGAAGTAACAATAATAAGAAGCATCCAAGATAATTTTAAAGTGAATATGATTAATATGGCTGATGGTGCATTACTGTTATTACATACATAAGGAGAGCACTAAATCCATAAGGGTCATACAGTGTCTCAGAGAATAGAAGGCATTCAGACTTGATTCAAGGAATTGGAGCATAGATTCAGTTCCTTATATCAAGAGCCCCTCACCAACATCAAGGAACTTTCTTTGAGGGAGGCTGATGGTGCAGAGATGCAAAACTGCAGAATATTCAGAGAAGGAGTTGCAAAATTAAAACAGCCCTGAAAAACTGAGTGATAATTTTTTTTAAGTACAGTACCATAATATAATTAATAATATATAATAAAATATACCTAATGGTAAAAAAATGAAAAAGATGGAGTGGTAGAGGAAGTGGAATATTCAAATGGTTTCAGGAAGAAATCCAAATATTCTTCCTCAAAGTCTTTTTATCCATTAATATTTATAATACTATTGTAATATATATTTATTTCCAGATAGGTTCCCATTATCCTCCATGGGGAAGTGGAACAGAATTCTTCTTCCGTAAGCGACTAAAATGCCAGGAGCAAGGGGCTAGTAACCCCTTCTCCTGTATACATTACTAAATGTAAAAGGAGAAACTTTCGTTTTTCCTTTTGGGCCACCCCGCCTTGGTGGGATACGGCCGGTGTGTTGAAAGAAAGAAAGGTTCCCATTATAAACTGGATGGCTGATTTATAGCCATGTATCTACACAATATTATGGCCCTGTATCTATCCTATATTATGGCCATGTATCTACCCTATATTTTGTCAATGACAAAATATTAAAATCTCTGGTGGTTTCACAAAATTGTTGCTAGGTGACCTGTTAATTTCATTATTACAACCCAATTTTAATTTTGTCTTACTTGTGTTCTATTTATGCACCTTATTTTTTATTTTTTATTATCACACCGGCCGATTCCCACCAAGGCAGGGTGGCCCGAAAAAGAAAAACTTTCACCATCATTCACTCCATCACTGTCTTGCCAGAAGGGTGCTTTACACTACAGTTTTTAAACTGCAACATTAACACCCCTCCTTCAGAGTGCAGGCACTGTACTTCCCATCTCCAGGACTCAAGTCCGGCCTGCCGGTTTCCCTGAATCCCTTCATAAATGTTACTTTGCTCACACTCCAACAGCACGTCAAGTATTAAAAACCATTTGTCTCCATTCACTCCTATCAAACACGCTCACGCATGCCTGCTGGAAGTCCAAGCCCCTCGCACACAAAACCTCCTTTACCCCCTCCCTCCAACCCTTCCTAGGCCGACCCCTACCCCGCCTTCCTTCCACTACAGACTGATACACTCTTGAAGTCATTCTGTTTCGCTCCATTCTCTCTACATGTCCGAACCACCTCAACAACCCTTCCTCAGCCCTCTGGACAACAGTTTTGGTAATCCCGCACCTCCTCCTAACTTCCAAACTACGAATTCTCTGCATTATATTCACACCACACATTGCCCTCAGACATGACATCTCCACTGCCTCCAGCCTTCTCCTCGCTGCAACATTCATCACCCACGCTTCACACCCATATAAGAGAGTTGGTACAACTATACTCTCATACATTCCCCTCTTTGCCTCCAAGGACAAAGTTCTTTGTCTCCACAGACTCCTAAGTGCACCACTCACTCTTTTTCCCTCATCAATTCTATGATTCACCTCATCTTTCATAGACCCATCCGCTGACACGTCCACTCCCAAATATCTGAATACGTTCACCTCCTCCATACTCTCTCCCTCCAATCTGATATTCAATCTTTCATCACCTAATCTTTTTGTTATCCTCATAACCTTACTCTTTCCTGTATTCACCTTTAATTTTCTTCTTTTGCACACCCTACCAAATTCATCCACCAATCTCTGCAACTTCTCTTCAGAATCTCCCAAGAGCACAGTGTCATCAGCAAAGAGCAGCTGTGACAACTCCCACTTTGTGTGTGATTCTTTATCTTTTAACTCCACGCCTCTTGCCAAGACCCTCGCATTTACTTCTCTTACAACCCCATCTATAAATATATTAAACAACCACGGTGACATCACACATCCTTGTCTAAGGCCTACTTTTACTGGGAAAAAATTTCCCTCTTTCCTACATACTCTAACTTGAGCCTCACTATCCTCGTAAAAACTCTTCACTGCTTTCAGTAACCTACCTCCTACACCATACACTTGCAACATCTGCCACATTGCCCCCCTATCCACCCTGTCATACGCCTTTTCCAAATCCATAAATGCCACAAAGACCTCTTTAGCCTTATCTAAATACTGTTCACTTATATGTTTCACTGTAAACACCTGGTCCACACACCCCCTACCTTTCCTAAAGCCTCCTTGTTCATCTGCTATCCTATTCTCCGTCTTACTCTTAATTCTTTCAATTATAACTCTACCATACACTTTACCAGGTACACTCAACAGACTTATCCCCCTATAATTTTTGCACTCTCTTTTATCCCCTTTGCCTTTATACAAAGGAACTATGCATGCTCTCTGCCAATCCCTAGGTACCTTACCCTCTTCCATACATTTATTAAATAATTGCACCAACCACTCCAAAACTATATCCCCACCTGCTTTTAACATTTCTATCTTTATCCCATCAATCCCGGCTGCCTTACCCCCTTTCATTTTACCTACTGCCTCACGAACTTCCCCCACACTCACAACTGGCTCTTCCTCACTCCTACAAGATGTTATTCCTCCTTGCCCTATACACGAAATCACAGCTTCCCTATCTTCATCAACATTTAACAATTCCTCAAAATATTCCTTCCATCTTCCCAATACCTCTAACTCTCCATTTAATAACTCTCCTCTCCTATTTTTAACTGACAAATCCATTTGTTCTCTAGGCTTTCTTAACTTGTTAATCTCACTCCAAAACTTTTTCTTATTTTCAACAAAATTTGTTGATAACATCTCACCCACTCTCTCATTTGCTCTCTTTTTTACATTGCTTCACCACTCTCTTAACTTCTCTCTTTTTCTCCATATACTCTTCCCTCCTTGCATCACTTCTACTTTGTAAAAACTTCTCATATGCTAACTTTTTCTCCCTTACTACTCTCTTTACATCATCATTCCACCAATCGCTCCTCTTCCCTCCTGCACCCACTTTCCTGTAACCACAAACTTCTGCTGAACACTCTAACACTACATTTTTAAACCTACCCCATACCTCTTCGACCCCATTGCCTATGCTCTCATTAGCCCATCTATCCTCCAATAGCTGTTTATATCTTACCCTAACTGCCTCCTCTTTTAGTTTATAAACCTTCACCTCTCTCTTCCCTGATGCTTCTATTCTCCTTGTATCCCATCTACCTTTTACTCTCAGTGTAGCTACAACTAGAAAGTGATCTGATATATCTGTGGCCCCTCTATAAACATGTACATCCTGAAGTCTACTCAACAGTCTTTTATCTACCAATACATAATCCAACAAACTACTGTCATTTCGCCCTACATCATATCGTGTATACTTATTTATCCTCTTTTTCTTAAAATATGTATTACCTATAACTAAACCCCTTTCTATACAAAGTTCAATCAAAGGGCTCCCATTATCATTTACACCTGGCACCCCAAACTTACCTACCACACCCTCTCTAAAAGTTTCTCCTACTTTAGCATTCAAGTCCCCTACCACAATTACTCTCTCACTTGGTTCAAAGGCTCCTATACATTCACTTAACATCTCCCAAAATCTCTCTCTCTCCTCTGCATTCCTCTCTTCTCCAGGTGCATACACGCTTATTATGACCCACTTCTCACATCCAACCTTTACTTTAATCCACATAATTCTTGAATTTACACATTCATATTCTCTTTTCTCCTTCCATAACTGATCATTTAACATTACTGCTACCCCTTCCTTTGCTCTAACTCTCTCAGATACTCCAGATTTAATCCCATTTATTTCCCCCCACTGAAACTCTCCTACCCCCTTCAGCTTTGTTTCGCTTAGGGCCAGGACATCCAACTTCTTTTCATTCATAACATCAGCAATCATCTGTTTCTTGTCATCCGCACTACATCCACGCACATTTAAGCAACCCAGTTTTATAAAGTTTTTCTTCTTCTCTTTTTTAGTAATTGTATACAGGAGAAGGGGTTACTAGCCCATTGCTCCCGGCATTTTAGTCGCCTCATACGACACGCATGGCTTACGGAGGAAAGATTCTTTTCCACTTCCCCATGGACAATAGAAGAAATAAAAAAGAACAAGAGCTATTTAGAAAAAGGAGAAAAGCCTAGATGTATGTATATATATATATGCATGTGCGTGTCTGTGAAGTGTGACCAAAGTGTAAGTAGGAGTAGCAAGATATCCCTGTTATCTTAGCGTGTTTATGCACCTATTGTCCTTAAATCCCAAAGAACCTACAGGTGTACCTATTCACCCATTTGTCATCACAGTTGTTATTCTTAATTATTATTATTGTTATTCTTTCTTTCAACGTACCAGCCGTATCCCACTGAGGTGGGGTGGCCCAAAAGGAAAAACTTAAGTTTCTCCTTTCAAATTTAGTAATATATACAGGAGAAGGGGTTACTAGCCCCTTGCTTCCGGCATTTTAGTCGCCTCTTACGACACGCATGGTTTACGGAGGAAGAATTCTGTTCCACTTCCCCATGGAGTATTATTATTATTATTATCATTATAAAAGAATGGCTAAGCCCATGTGAGCCATGCAGCCCTGCCCACTCACCCAATATGTCACTTGTAAGGCAGGAACTGCTGGCTTCTCAAAGAGTGCTAAGGCGAGGTGTAGTACAATAATAAAATTTAGCACTACTTGTCCCCATTTATTCTGGTACATGTGGTATAACCTGTAATGTAGTTTATTACAGGATTAAAGGTACATGCCTGGTGAATAATAAAAAACTAAGAAAATACAGTGAATAGAGAAAAATGGAAAAATTGCATTTCAGCAGTGTTTATATTTCATAGTAAAGCAATACAGGAAAAAATATACATATTCTCATAATTGTGCAAAAAGCATATAAATGTCTAATTAATGCCCAGGATGATAAAAAGTATATTAAATACAATTCTGCAAAACTCAAATATATAATAACAAAGAACAAAGTTGAAGGACAGTAATTTACTCACTTCAGATGTCTCTCAGAAATTTTAAAATCGGAGTGCCTTCCATCTCTTGCATCTTCTACATAGGTTGCAGCAAGGAGAAGATTCTGCAACATTATAAAAGATTTTTCAAACAATGATAAATTTACTGAAAAAAGTTCCAGAACCCTGAAGGATGAAAATGCTAACATAAATACAAAAGAAATTTAAATTAAATATAAAATTTCCAGAATCATTTTTTTTCCGCTAGTCTGTTACTCAATAGTTGTCTCGAAACAAAACACAAATGGTATCTGGAATTCTTGATGTGATCACCCTTCAAGGGTGGTTAAACAGAGAAGAAATTACAAAGAAATGAGTAGTGACATGGTGACATACAGGAAGGCCTCTTTATAGACCTTAGAAAAGCTTTCGATAAAGCAGACCATAACATCGTAACTAGAACATCATGGTTTCAGAATGAAAGGAGTAAAACAGTTGGACAGATGAGATTAACACAGATATTAAAAAAAGTGAGGATATAATGTTAAAGCTATTAGTGCATTTGTTCAAGACATGCATGAAAGAGGGAGAGGCACCTAATGATTGATAAGACAGCATCCATAGTTCCCTTGTACAAGGACAAATGGGACAAGAAACAATGTAAGAATTAGGGGGGGGGATATAAGCTTACTGAGTATAATGAGTAAAGTGTATGGTAGAATTATTACTGAAAGGGTTTGGGTAAGATAGAAAATAGGATGGCAGAGGATTATGGAGGATTTAGGAAAGGTGAGAGATGTGTATGCCATGGGGAAGCAGAGGAGCTAATAACTCTTTCTCCTGTATACAATACTAAAGTTAGAGAGAGAAACTTTCGTTTTTCTTTTTGGGCTACCCTGCTTCGGTTGTAGACTAAGTATTTATGATGAAGCATGTAAGTGAGCCATTTGTTGCATTTGTGGATTTAGAAAAGACATATGATAGGGTGGACAGGGTAGCCATGTGGCAGATGTTGCAAATATGTGGAATAAAAGGTACATTACTAAAAGCAGCAGATTTTTATGTGAAGACTAAGGCTTGGGTTAGGGTAAATAGGAGGGACAGGGTATATTTCCCAGTGAAAGTAGGATACAGACAGGAATGTGTGATGTCACAATAATTGCTTAATATATTTATAAATAAAGTTGAAAAGAAGTAAATACTAGGGTGTGGGGAAGAGATGTGGGAGTAAAAGATGTTGGATCTCATACAAGCTGGGAGTTGTCATAGATGCTCTATGCTACTGAAGCAGTTCTTTGGGGAGATTCTGAAGACTAGTTACAAATGTTGGTGAATGAATTTGAGAGGGTATGTAAAAGTAGGAAATAAAAAGTGAACATATGAGAATAAAAAATCTAGACAATTATGGACTGAATATCAGATTGGAGGGAGTGTGGAAGAAGTGGATGTACATTCAGAGACTTGGGAGAGAACATGTCAGTAGATAGGTTTATGAAAGACGAGTTGAACCACAGAAAAGAGGGATGTACCAGAGCATAGTGGCATCCAACATTACTTTTGTAGGGATGTGATGCATGGGCTTTGAATGTTGCGGTAGCATAGCCAGAATTTCATTTTGAGGGAAAGGGTGGGAGGTGTGATGCATGGGCTTTGAATGTTTCAGTGGCACAGCCAAGAATTCATTTTGAAGGGAAGGGGGCCTAAGTTAGGATTTCAATCTAGGGATAAGGGGCCTCAGCCAGAATTTTAATCTAGGGAAGCTTAAAAATAATAAGAGGCCAAAGAACTCAAAGAAACTATCTTTAAAAACATGATTTTCAGTATGTATTTCAATTTTTTTTAAACTATTGTGCTTTTGTGGTCACTGGTCAATATAATAGTCATAAATTAGAAACATGTTGATGAATTAGACACATGTTGATGAATTAGACACATGTTGATGAATCAGACATGTGCAACATTTGGGTATCTTTACTTTGTAGACTTTTCACCATCCAGTGGCTTTATAATATAATACATGGACTTAATCTGAAGACTGTATAAATATACAAAATAATAACTATTGGAAGAATGACTAGATACACTAAGATCAAAGAGGTATGGTGTGAATTTAACAGTGAAGAACTAGTGGTTAAAGGATAGTGGGAGGATAGAGGAATAATTTGTGGAATGAGATTAAAAGGGTAGTTAAAAAGAGAAAAACCATAACACATAAAAAGATTTGTATGCAAAAATTATACAAACAATAAAATAAGGTGTTCTGAAAGGAAAAAAATGTACTATACATAGCTCTTTGTACACTTACTAAATCAGATACTGGAGGTTCATCTGTAGAATCTATGGCAGCACTTCCATCTGCAGCATTATTGACTTCAATTATCTCTGAATCTGGCTTATAAATAACACTTATTGGAGTCGAATTTTGGTCTGATACACTATTACGAAGCTTAAGAGACGATTTTCTTCTCTGGTGCACTGAAAGATTAAATCCACAATACTCATATTAAGGTCATATTAAAGTCTTCCAATTTTACACATTCATTAAAAACAGAGTACTTAACTTATTAAGCAATTCAGAGAGCTTCAATCAATATTTCCCGAAATACTTTATAGGATAGTGGTACCTTGGGATATGAATTTTTTCATTCCAGAAGGCTGTTCAAGTGCCGATACTGAACAAATTTGTTCCCATAAGGAATACATAATGTATTGTGGAATAAGGAATAAGGTATTATGCCTTTTTGTTATTTAGGAATAATGTAAATTAGATTAATCCATTTCAGACCCTCAAAAATTCACTTACAAAAGCACTTACATAATTTTTTTTTTTAACAAGTCGGCCATCTCCCACCGAGGCAGGGTGACCCAAAAAGAAAGAAAATCCCCAAAAAGAAAATACTTTCATCATCATTCAATACCTTCACCTCACTCACACATAATCACTGTTTTTGCAGAGGTGCTCAGAACACAACAATTTAGAAGCATATACATATAAAGATACAAAACATATCCCTCCAAACTGCTAATATATTAACTTACATAGATATTAACTTACATAATTGTTCAAGTTTTGAGCTGTTCGTATCCCGAGGTACCACTGTACTTCCATACTTAAAGAAATTAAGACAAATTCATGAATGATGTGCTATGAGAGGACATATAGTAGACCACAGCACTTTAAAAAATATTTAAACTCTGGAAATATTTAATATTAATAAAATTAACAAATCAGAGGCCATGAAGCTCACTAAAATACAAATGTTGCAAGTTTTTTTAACTATGTTAGAATATTGGCAAATTTGCTTCTACAGAGATTAAACTTACTGGGTACTATCCTGAATGTAAGATATATTCAGGATAGTTCAAAATTACATTTAAGTGATCTAATGTGAAAAATATACACTATTTTACATAAAATTGGCAAATATGCACCTACCATACACAACTGAATATCACTCTCAGTCTTCCTCTAAGTAGAAGGCTGAGAGTGATATTCAATTAGAATAAGTTTTTTTAAATTATTGGTTCAATTCCAAGAATCCTGGAATGGTTTCTATAACACTGACAAGATGATTATCAAATGGTATACAATACCGACAGGTTGGTAGATAAGACACATAGGCAACATTTAGGCAACTTTATTCCGAAACGTTTCGCCTACACAGTAGGCTTCTTCAGTCGAGTACAGAAAGTAGGCAGGAGCAGTAGAGATGTGAAGACGATGTAATCAGTCCATCACCCTTGAAGTCGTAGATTTGAGGTTGTCAGTCCCTCAGCCTGGAGAAGTTCTGTTCCAAAGTCTGGAACTAACTGAAGATCAAGCGACAGTGTTGAGACTTAAATACTGTCGGAAGGAGAGGTGCAGAGTAGTAGTAGTAGTAGTGAGAATGTAGCCACTGAGAGGTCATGTCCCTCTCAGATCAAACAACAATTTTCAAGTGAGAATTGTTTGATCTGAGAGGGACATGACCTCTCAGTGGCTACATTCTCACTACTACTACTACTACTCTGCACCTCTCCTTCCGACAGTATTTAAGTCTCAACACTGTCGCTTGATCTTCAGTTAGTTCCAGACTTTGGAACAGAACTTCTCCAGGCTGAGGGACTGACAACCTCAAATCTACGACTTCAAGGGTGATGGACTGATTACATCGTCTTCACATCTCTACTGCTCCTGCCTACTTTCTGTACTCGACTGAAGAAGCCTACTGTGTAGGCGAAACGTTTCGGAATAAAGTTGCCTAAATGTTGCCTATGTGTCTTATCTACCAACAATGACAAGAGGGCAACTGTACATGTCAGTAATCACATGCAGTAAATCAGTGTTGAAAATCTGAAGGTGATCAGAGGAGGTATTTTAAGTTATGAACAAATTGTTTATGGTGCAAAATGTGAATATGGACTAATAGTAAGTGGTCTAGGAATGCCAATATAGGAAGTTTTCCCTTTCCTAGGAGGTTGGCTTCTTTCAATGGAATGAGTGAAGTTTAAAAAATTACTCAACTCATTCAGAGGACAGTACGTTGGTGTGATCCTCTGTTCACTAATTGTGAAATAGAAACCCTTATCTCACAGCCAGGCTTCCTAGTAAGCTTAAAGGTATACAGTGTGATACTCATCCTTCCACACTTAGTGAATTTACATATGCTTATACAGGTGGACCGCTTTATAGTGCTTTGCTTTATGGAATTCTGCTAATACAGTGGTTTTCAATTATACCCATTCTTCATTTATTCAGACTTCCTACAATTAAATATATTCACCACTCACTATAAGCTAAGAATGAAAAAAATTTAAGGCAAGTAATGTGTATAATGCATATGCAGTTTTTAGGCCAAGCTATACTACTCACTTAATACGTATATGATAGTGTAAACATGTTACCAGGCTATGTTTCACTTTACAGCAATTTTCACTTTACAGCAGTAGCCAGGAACCAAACCTGCTGTATAAGCGGGGCTCAATGTAGTACCGTATTTCGCGGCTTCTTAGGCGCATTTTTTTTTCCACGTCTCCAAAAATCACCCTGTGTCCTATAAACTGAAGGTCAGTGACAGGAGTTATAAGTTTGGGGTGTGGGGTGGGCTGTAGCTCTCCCAGTTATGTCCGATGCCGAGCCATTAAAAATACGGTAGTACAGTGGACCCCCGGTTTACGATATTATTTCATTCCAGAAGTATGTTCAGGTGCTAGTACTGACCGAATTTGTTCCCATAAGGAATATTGTGAATTAGATTAGTCCATTTCAGACCCCTAAACATACACATACAAACGCACTTACATAAATACACTTACATAATTGGTCGCATTGGGAGCTGATCGTAAACCGGGGGTCCACTGTATTTACATTTGATTAAGCCGCTTTAATACCAATTTAATACCAATTTTCATAATACAGGGGATACAGTATAGATAAAAAATTCATGTGGTTACCTTTTGAAGATGAAGCCTCCACACTATTAACAATATTTTGATCAGTGTTGATTTCACTTTCTATAGTGACTTCTGTAGTACTGCTGTCTTTTTCAGTGGATTCCATTTTATCTGTTTTCTGTTTTCTCTTGCACACGAAGAAAAATTAAATTTCTACATCTGCAACTGTGAAACTGTTGTCTCAATGCCCCTGAAAAAAACAAGTGTAATTTTACAACCGAAAATAATAAATCACCTTCTGTATCACAAGCATTAACATTATGCCTTACCTTACTATGCAAAGTTCTTAATTACCAGGTACAGTAGGGCCCCACTTTACGGCATTCTGCTAATACAGACATTTCACAGGAGCACATGCAGGGCCTTGAGGAATTTCACTTCATTTTCTTAATCTCTCAAATATTATAACAAATGACATATGCTATATTTACCCAATTACACCATACCTTACAATAAATAATGATAATAATAATAATGATCTTGGTTTCTACATGTACAACATATACAGACCTGGATGACATCAATGACATACTATACAAACAGCCCCTTGTTATACCTGGAGAGGGTTTTGGGGGTCAACGCCCTCAAAGCTCGGTCTGTGATCAGGCAAATTAGGCTAATTTTGTCTTCAGTTTAAAAACTGTAGTGTAAAGCACCCTTCTGGCAAGACAGTGATGGAGTGAATGATGGTGAAAGTTTTTCTTTTTCGGGCCACCCTGCCTTGGTGGGAATCGGCCAGTGTGATAATAATAATAATAAAAAATATGCAACCCACACCAGTCGGCTAACACCCAGGTATCTATTTACTGTTAGGTGAACATGGACAGCAGGTGTCTTAAGGAAATATACCTGAATGTTTCCACCCATACCAGAGATTAAACCACGGACCTCTGTGTGAGCCAAGTGCGCTACCAACTGTGCTACACAACAAATGAGCATAAAGAACAATATTAGCATCCTTCATAATTAGGACCTCAATGTAAATAAGTTACTAGGTAATTTACAAATATATTACTGTGTAAGACAAATGTAAGCATCCAAAATTGTACCTAAATAAACTTACTAACCTATACAAACTGCATGTATCCTGAAAAACAATCTATATCCTACAGATAGGAATCATGTCTTCTTAAAACAACAGCTAAAACCTACTGAAAGACATCATGTCTTCTTAAAACAACAGCCACATCCTACAGACATACATCATGTCTTCTTAAAACAACAGTTAAAACCTACTAAAAGACATCATGTCTTCTTAAAACAACAGCCATATCCTACAGACATACATCATGTCTTCTTAAAACAACAGCTAAAACCTACTAAAAGACATCATGTCTTCTTAAAACAACAGCTATATCCTACAGACATACATCATGTCTTCTTAAAACAACAGCTAAAACCTACTAAAAGACATCATGTCTTCTTAAAACAACAGCTATATCCTACGGAAAGACATCATGTCTTCTTAAAACAAGTTAAAACCTACTAAAAGACATCATGTCTTCTTAAAACAACAGTTAAAACCTACTAAAAGACATCATGTCTTCTTAAAACAACAGCTATATCCTACGGAAAGACATCATGTCTTCTTAAAACAAGTTAAAACCTACTAAAAGACATCATGTCTTCTTAAAACAACAGTTAAAACCTACTAAAAGACATCATGTCTTCTTAAAACAACAGCTATATCCTACTGAAAGACATAATGTCTTCTTAAAACAACAGCTATATCCTACTGAAAGACATAATGTCTTCTTAAAACAACAGCCACATCATACAGACATACATAATGTCTTCTTAAAACAACAGCTATATCCTACTAACAAACGTCACGTCTTAAAACAACAGGTGGACCTAAAATTGCAAGTACTGACAAACTTACCACATAAAAAATATACATAGCTGCCACCTAACTTAAAACATATACTAATATTAAGAGTGGCAGCAGCAGCAGCCTCCTTCTATCTCCCGGCGCTGGGGGCGGATGCTCTATAATTCAGGCTCGTCTTATAGCTTTTTATAATGGTTTTTATCCAAATTTTGAAGTGTTTGTGGGAAATTATATATGGTGCTTAATTTTAAAGGCAGTTGTGATATTATGTGTGTGAAAATTGGGTTATGTGGAGTAGTAAATTCATGTTTAGTACTTTTTGTTGTTTTTGTAATGTGGTTAAGATTAATAATAATAATAATAATAATAATAATAATAATAATAATAATAATAATAATAATAATAATAATAATAATATAATAACAATAATTTATTTATTTATTATTTGGACATGATACATAGTTGTACAAAAGAAATACAGTGGTTGAGTGTACATAATAATAATAATAATAATAATAATAATAATAATAATAATAATAATAATAATAATAATAATAATAATAATAATAATAATAATAATAATAATAATAATAATATTATTATTATTATTATTATTATTATTATTATTATTATTATAATGGTAATAATAATATTAGTGACAAAAAATAGTAATAGTAATAATAATGATAACAATGATGATAATGATACTACTACTACTAGTAATAGTAACAATAATAATAATAATAATAATTATTATTATTATTATTACAAATTACTGTATAAAACAGTTTGTGAAATTGAGACACATGTGCAACATCTGGGTATCTTTATTGTAGACGTTTCGCCATCCTGTGGCTTTATCAATACAAATTCTAGGACATAACTTGAAGACAGTAGGACTATATACAGAAGATGAGTAATCAGTCCCTCAACCTAGCAGTAGGTGCGAAGAGCACCGTAGTCGTGGAGATTCTGAAGCAGAAGCAAGGTGCCTGACGCTTATATAGTAACGTCAGGTGTAAATGAGACGGGTAGCAGACGAGGGCCTACCAGTGACTAGGCCCTCGTCTGCTACCCGTCCCATTTCCACCTGACGTTACTATATAAGCGTCAGGCACCTTGCTTCTGCTTTCCGCCGGGTCACCATCTGGAGAAGACCCGGGCCGGAAGTACCGGCAAATCTCTAATGAATGCTTCTGCTTCAGAATCTCCACGACTACGGTGCTCTTCGCACCTACTGCTAGGTTGAGGGACTGATTACCTCATCTTCTGTACATAGTTCTCCTGTCTTCAAGTTATGTCCTGGAATTTGTATTGATAAAGCCACAGGATGGCGAAACGTCTACAATAAAGATACCCAGATGTTGCACATGTGTCTCAATTTCATCTTGTCGGTATTGTATACCATTCTTGTACAAAACAGTTTGTACAACCCTACTGTTTGATTTTCGTTAAACAATGAATCGTACCTAAAACCAGCCTATCTTATAACTATCAATTTCTGACATGATGAATGGTTTGAAAAACCGACAACTGTCAGACACTGCAGCATCATGGCATCTTGTTACAAAGAATTCTTCAACACTTGTTCAACCTTTGGACGAAGACCTACTTCGACTAGTGGATGATACCACTATGACCCCGCCTCCGCCTGCTTCACCTCACCTCACTACAGTATATAAGCCACGTCTACGGCCCTATGCTATACATTCTACAAGATTGATGGACTGAACACATCGACTCCAGGCTGAGGGACTGATTACCTCATTCTCCTCCTCACCTTACGCCTTCCTCTTTGTATTGGACTGATGAAGCCACTGTGTGGCGAAACGTTTCCTGAATAAAGATTTCCATATGCTGCATAAGTGTCTCAATCTTCAACTTGTCGGTTTTTCAAACCATTCATCACACACATATGTTCCCCATCAGTAAAATGGGTGAAGATTGAGACACTTATGCAGCATATGGGAATCTTTATTCAGGAAACGTTTCGCCACACAGTGGCTTCATCAGTCCAATACAAAGAGGAAGGCGTAAGGAGAGGAGGAGTATGAGGTAATCAGTCCCTCAGCCTGGAGTCGATGTGTTCAGTCCATCAATCTTGTAGAATGTACAGCATAGGGCCGTAGACGTGGCTTATATACTGTAGTGAGGTGACTTGAAGCAGACGGAGGCGGGATCATAGTGGTACCATCCACTAGTCGAAGTAGGTCTTTGTCCAAAGGTTGAACAAGCGTTGAAGAATTCTTTGTAAGAAGATCCCATGATGCTGCAGTGTCAGACACTGCAGCATCATGGGATCTTCTTACAAAGAATTCTTCAACGCTTGTTCAACCTTTGGACAAAGACCTACTTCGACTAGTGGATGGTACCACTATGATCCCGCCTCCGTCTGCTTCAAGTCACCTCACTACAGTATATAAGCCACGTCTACGGCCCTATGCTGTACATTCTACAAGATTGATGGACTGAACACATCGACTCCAGGCTGAGGGACTGATTACCTCATACTCCTCCTCTCCTTACGCCTTCCTCTTTGTACTGGACTGATGAAGCCACTGTGTGGCGAAACGTTTCCTGAATAAAGATTCCCATATGCTGCATAAGTGTCTCAATCTTCAACTTGTCGGTTTTTCAAACCATTCATCACACAGTAAAATGGGTACCTGTGTGTTAGTCGACTGGTGTGGGTCGCATCCTGGGACAAAACTGACCTAATTTGCCCGAAATGCTCTACACAACAAGCGGCTTTCTAAGTAGTAGTATGTCATTGATGTTAACTATTCCTGCATACCTTGTACATGATTGAAGTGTATAAGTGGAAGATGGGTATTAATGAAGGGGATATTAATAAGGTCTTGAGGATATCTCTCCAAGAGAGAACCCGCAGTAATGGATTTAAATTGGACAAATTTAGATTTAGAAAGGACATAGGAAAGTATTGGTTTGGAAATAGGGTAGTTGATGAGTGGAACAGTCTACCTAGTTGGGTTATTGAGGCTAGGACTTTGGGTAGTTTCAAATTTAGGTTGGATAAATACACGAGTGAGAGGGGTTGGATTTGAGTGGAACTTGCAAATGAGTGGATAGAGTTATCAGACCTTATTTCTTGGGTAGGATTGAAAATTAGGTTGGGCAAATGTTTTGTTAGTGGGATGGAATGTAAAAGACCTGCCTAGTATGGGCCAACAGGCCTGCTGCAGTGATCCTCCTTTTTATGTTCTTAAATAAAAATATTATTATTTGTCCTGTTTCCTGACGAATCTTACCTAACCTAACCTTTTCGGCCTACTCCTCTGTCCTGTCTGAGGCAACACCTACTTACTACCTATTGCACACACTTACACACATATGACATGTATGTAAAGTTATTGAGAAGATTATCAGGAAAAAGAGTGGTGGATTACCTAGATCGGAATGGACTAATACATGACAACCAGTACGGCTTTAGGGGAGGAAAATCCTGCATCATTAACCTATTGGAGTTTCATGACAAAGTAACAGAAAGACAGGGGAGAGGGATGGGTAGACCGCATCTTCTTGGACTGTAAGAATGCTTTCGATACAGTTCCACACAAGAGAAGGGTAGAAAACTAGAGGAACAAGCAGGAATAGGAGGGAGAGTAATGCAATGAATCAGGGAATACCTGACAGGAAGGAAACAACGTGTGTTGGTCCGAGACGAGGTGTCAGAGTGGGTGCATGTGTCGAGTGGGGTTCCACAAGAGTCAGTTCTAGGTCCGTTGCTGTCTCTTGTATGTGTGAATGATATGACGAAAGGGATAAAGTCAGAGGTGTCCCTTTTTACAGACGATATAAAACTAATGAGGAGAATGCAAGCGGAAGAGGATAACGTAAGCCTACAAGGGTATCTGGACAGACTGTAAGCCTGGTCTGACAAATGGCTCCTGGAGTCTAACCCCAGCAAGTGCAAAGTTATGAAGATTGGAGAAAGACAAAGGAGACCGCAGACAGAGTACAGCCTAGGAGGTCAAAGGTTGCAAAACTCACTCAGTGAATAGGATCTTACGATAAGCATCATGTAATGAAGTTGGTAGACTTACCGACAATATGTAAAGTAAAAGGACACAAGTGCAACTAATGTGACATTTATTGTGGCAACGTATCGCTCTCCAGGAGCTTTATCAAGCTTGATAAAGCTCCTGGAGAGCGAAATGTTGCCACAATAGATAAGCATCATATCGAGCACATCGCCTGAGGCGCACATTAACCAAATAACTGCTGCAGCATACGGGCGCCTGGCAAACCTGAGAATAATGTTTCGTTATCTAAGGAGTCATTCACGACACCGACACTGTACACCGTGTACGTCAGACCCATATTGAAGTATGCAGCACCAGTATGGAATCCACACCTGGTTAAACATGTCAAGAAATTAGAAAAAGTGCAAAAGTTTGCAACAAGACTAATCCCAGAGCTGAAGGGTTTGTCCTACGAGGAGAGGTTAAAAAGGAACTCAACCTGACAACACTGGAAGACAGAAGGGATAACAATATATGAAATACTAAGAGGAATTGAAAGGGTGGATAGGGACAGAATGTTTCAGAGATGTGACAGTAACAAGGGGTCACAACTGGAAGCTGAAAACTCAGATGAGCCACATGGATGTTAGGAAGTATTTCTTCAGCCATAGAGTTATCAGGAAATGGAATAGTCTGAAGAGTGATGTAGTATACCTGGAGAGAGTTCCGGGGGTCAACGCCCCCGCGGCCCGGTCTATGACCAGGCTTCATGGTGGATCAGGGCCTGATCAACCAGGCTGTTACTGCTGGCCGCACGTAATCCAACGTACAAACCACAACCCGGCTGGTCAGGTACTGACTTTAGGTGCCTGTCTAGTGCCTGCTTGAAGACAGCCATGTATGGAGACAAGATCCATACATAGCTTTAAGAAGAGGTATGACAAAGCTCATAGAGCAGAGAGAGAGTGGACCTAGTGGCGACCAGTGAAGAGGAGGGGCCAGGAGCTATGAATCGACCCTTGCAACCACAATTAGGTGATTACACGCACACACACACACACACACACACACACACACACACACACACACACACACACACACACACACACACAAAGACCAGGTGATAAGGCTGAGGAAAGAAGGTGGAGAACTCACAAGAAACGATCAAGAGGTATGTGAGGAGCTCAACATGAGATTTAAGGAAG